CAACAGGACGCCCCAGACCTCCACGGGCATGTCCCCGTACGAGATCCACATCGGGTACATCCCGAAGGTACCAGACCAATGAGGTACCAGCGACCCAACAGAGCAACTGAAACAGGCCGATCGAAAGTGCATTAAGGAGCGCATGCAGCAACTGACCGAGGTGAGCCGCATCGTTCAGCACAGACTCCGAGAGGCCCAGGACAGGCAGGCAAGATACTACGACAGGAACAAGAATACGGATGCGTTCGTAGTAGGCGACCAGGTCCTGCTGAACCGCAAAGGCATCCAGATCAAGAGTATCTCGGCCCAAAACAAGAAGCTGTCCGCACTGTCGATTGGGCCCTTCACCGTCAGCGGAAAGGGGCCCCACCTGGACACCTACGAGCTGGAGCTCTCCCACGAGTTCAGTGGACTACACCCGGTGTTCCACGTCAGCATCCTATGCAGGTACAACCCTCCGGAGAACTGCCCATACCGGAAAGCGGACGCGCCACCCCCCCCGGAGGAAGTCAACGGCAAACTCGAGCACCGAGTGGAAGACATCCTCGATTCCAAGTGGGTACGCAACACCGAGATGTTCCTAGTCAAATGGGCCGGCTATGACATGTCCCAGAACCACCTGGGAGCCACTCCGACACGTCCGTGACACCTCGGCACACAAGCAATATGTCCAAAAGCAAGCCGCTAAGCGCCAGGAGACCCGGGAGACCAAGGCGAAGGAGAGAGCGGCAGTCTCCCGTCGCCGTAAACGTATCTCAACCTTGTACATACATCAAAACAGAGTTTCGACTGTCCGAAATGACCATTACCATTACGGACTCATGCGGGCGGGTACTTGTACCAAGGCCTATGATGCGGGCGGGTACGAAGTACCAGGGCCTATGATGCGGGCGGGTACATGGTACCAGGGCCTATAATGCGGGCGGGTACGAGGTACCAGGGCCTATGCGAGCCGGGCAAGCGAGGTGTCAGGGCTCATGCAGGCGGGTATGCAATACCAAGGCCTAGGATGCGGGCGGGTACAGGGTGCCAGGGCCTATGCGAGCGGGCAAGCGAGGTGTCAGGGCTCATGCGGGCGGGTATGCAATACCAAGGCCTAGGATGCGAGCGGGTGCGAGGCACCAGGGCTCAGGACAATCGGTGAAGTACCAAAGGGTAACGCTCCGAAGACAACAAATTCAACAAAATATATACAAGAAAGAAGAACGACGACGCCAGGCTAAATACCAGCCTGTTTGGCGAAGGACCATTCGCAACGTGTGCCGTGGCAGGCGGTCCCCATGCCACAACGCAGCGGGACGAACTGCTGGACGTTCATCTGGCTAGAGGGAGCGCGTCACGTCAGTGGCGGGACCTGTCGAAAATTCACGACTGTTGTACTTACGCGCGGACATGCCCCATACACTGGATGTGGTTCCAGGGGAAGACCCGCACGTCCTGGGCCAGACAATCGCAGTCGGGCCACACACAGGTGCAGGGTAGCGCCTGGCAGAAGAGCGGCGCTTCACACTCCTCCCCGAAACCGTCAACGTAGCCGCACATGAACTCCCCGACGGGCGTGTCGGTCTGTCGGGAAGAGACGTGAGCTGTCAGTCACCCCACGGGAACCACCCATGACATACGGTTCCTTACGGTGTCATCACAGAGCGGGAGGATGCAAGGCCGGCATATAACGTGCTGGCACGCCGAGAGGAACATCTTGCGGGGGCGGTACGTGTTGCATTTCCAACACGTAGGTTGGGCCAGTGGAGCCGGGGGCTCCGGGGTACTGTCCAAGTGCACCTCGGGGGTGTCCTGAGATAGAATTGGTCAAACCACGTAAGTTCGGTCAATTGGTCAACCTCCGTGGACTCACCACTCGCTGTCGCTTGAGAGCCTTCTTTAGGCTGTCCCCTTTGGTGGGGCCCTCGCCTACTTTCTTCTTGCCTGATGACAAGCTGGCGGCAGTGGGCTTGGCAGGAGGGGCTACGCTGGCCATAGTGAAGAGGGGAACGGCGACGGTGAGAGGTTACGAGATTGGGAGCAAGAAATGTAAGTCCGGGGACTGGCGGGAAGGTGCCGAGGGGACTACTGCCTTCCTTTTATATGCCGCAGGGACAAGGACCATAGCGCCCCATGACCAGCTGCGGCCGAATCATCTCTATCTCATATCGGCGTGGATCTGATTGCCATCGTGGTGACCACCAGTGACGCCAGCCGCTCCAGTAGAGCCATGCGCACTCCTCATGGCCGACACCTGTGTCAGGTCCACATCAAGTAACAGCGGGGAGCGACTGACAGGTGGGGTCGGTGTCGGAGTGACACTTGGCTCTAAGGGGGGTGTAATGAGGTGCTGCAGGTGTCACCTTAGTGCGGGGAAGCGCGTAGGGCATGAGATCACGTGGAGCATAGATTATATTTGGGTTCTACTCTCTGGGGTGACTCCCGAAGGGAAGAAAAGCCTTCGGGCGGCGCCCCGAGAGGTAGAAACGCTAGACTTCTTTCAATACATCGAAGCGGAGACAGAGCTAGCCTCTGGCAACGGACCTAGCATTATTACACCTCTGCTCTATCGGGTTGGCAACTCTGGGCGCTCGACAAATAAACTATCAACGTACTTCTCTAACGTTGGATATAGAAGGTGATCGGATGCCACGCCCAAATCAACCTTCTGTCCTGGAGCTTCGCTCATTTGAACCTCTGGCTCTGGTTCGGCGCGATCGCGCTCATTTGCGGGAACATAAGCTGGTGAAGCATTCACTGCAGCTTCCATGTCCATAGCGTACGCTATGTAACACTTCCCATACACCTTCTTTCGAGATAAGCAAGTGAACTTCTTATAAGTTACAACTTTTTTACTTGAGTCTTCTTGTTCAGGCATTGCTACCTTGAAGCGTTTAGACTTCTTTCTGATATCAAAGGACTGCAGATCAGCCGCATTACAGGACGATTGGGATTCCCACTTCCTTGTTACCGGTCTGGCAACTAGGGTGTGTTCAACTTCATCTGTACGGAATTGTAGAACAGGAATCTCATCCTCTATGTGCTCGAAACGAACATCGTCAAGCATATAGATCCATGGCAATCCGAGGATAACATCTACCCGCAGAGGAGCCACCACAAATGGAAGCTTTCCTCGCAAATACTGTCTTTGATCTCCCCGTAACTGAAGATCGCCACAAAATAGCTTGCTGGCATTGAATGCATGGCCGTCGTCACCCCAGGCTACATCAATGGGCATTTAAGGGTCGTAGCTTTGAAAGCCATGTTTGGACACCCATCCCTGACGTACCATAAGTGTTGTACATCCTGTAGCGATTAGAATGCGACAAAACTTGCCATTCAACTTGCCATCAACCACAAAAGCACATCGAGCGATCAACGCATCGGGTTGCAGTGCAAGTGCTTCAGGCCTCGGAAAAACAGTTTCAGTCTCGTCTGGCCGGCAAAGAAGCGCTCCCACGGCAGACGTATTCCTACAATCAACAAGAATACCATCAGTGGACGCAGGACATATTACCGCAGGTTCCTCTTCACTGGACACCATTGCACAATGAGACGAATAAATGGTGTCTTTATTAAACGTCTCTACTGAAAACCCTTCTTCTGACCAGCATTTCAACGCGGCTTAACCCTTTTGCCATTGAACGGATGCTGCGAGATCCATGTACCATGGTGCCTACGCTGCTCGATATAGAACAGATCCAAAGATCCATCCTGCAGCAGGCCATCACGGCGCATCGCAGAATCATGCTGCAACGTAGCTCGCAAGCGATCCTGTCGAACCTGATGTTCCTCGGCATGATGATCGCGAACTTCTGCTCGGGCGGCAGCAGCTTCAGCATGAAGCCGGGCGTTGAGCTCCTCGAGGGAGATCGTCAACATAGCCGTAGCGGGCGGGTGACCAGCAGGAGATGGAGGAGGTCCACCGACCTGGAAACACCGACCTAGACGGGCTGGCTGTTCGCCGGCGCTGCTATTTGAAATGCAGTAAAAGAGTTACTTGTTGTGAATAGGAACGCGCGACAAGCACTGTTAGAGCACCCGTGAGGCTGGATTCCACTGGAGAACACTCTTGAGACACATAGCGCAGATATACCTGTACATCCGCAGAATCTACAGGTATATTCTGCGAGGCCTGTCTTGCAAACGTTTGGTTCTCCAATTAGCCCTGACAACCCACATTACAGTAGGTGAGGTTGCTTTGACAAACTTGAGTGCTCTGAGAACGTGTAATGCGTCTGTACTGCACCAATTCATCGTCTTCAGGCACTTCCTGGTTATCTAGGTCCTCTGGGGCCTATACCCATTGATCAGTGTCAGGTTGTGGGTTGGGAGACGCGTCAGGAAGCTCACAATCCCCCTCAGCAAGTGTGATTCGGTGTTGTCTGTGGGCTTGGGTGCGCGTCAAATGATGTTGTCTGTTTCTGGATTGAATTCAAACCTCGCTAAGCTGTTGTAGGAGCGAGCTGATGTGTCTTCATTTGTATCATCATCTTCCAGACTCTTGTAGAATCTGTTCTCATTGAACTGGACGTCTCTGGATTCGATAACGGCAGCGGGCGCCACCGCGGTCCGTGTTCTCATGTCCAGCCCACTCTCACTGTCAAACTGTCCAAAAAAAGTTTTGGAAACCTGCAATTCTCCAAAAAGTTGTCGGGACGCGCGCTCCAACCCAGAAAATTTCAAAGTTTAACCAACAAGCGCTTATGGGGAGCCATCCGGGTCATAAACACCCGCTGCAAAATTTTTGGGTCGGAGCACGCGTCCCAACATCTTTTTCGAGAAGTGCGGGATTCCGAAACTTTTTTTGAACGTTTTGACAGTGACTGACAGGGGGGCTGAACATGAGAACACGGACCGAGGTGGGTGCTTACGTAAGAGTTTTCTGGCCACCAAAGCACACTATTTGCACTTTTCCCCGACCTTCCCTCCCAGTCGCAAAACGTGTAAATACATGCCATCCAATTCCATAGAAAAGAAAGGCTACATCCGACAGAGTACACAAACAACTTGCCAAGCTATGGAATTTGGAACCCTCCATCTTTGGATAGCCACACTGCATACCACAAGCGATCCGCTAGGTGGCCCGCATCTCGGAAACCTAGATGCAGCTCCAACGTGTCGCTGCAAGTACGAGACGAAGGCAAACGATCCCCTTCGTGCTGAGCGATATCCACAACTATCCTGTCCTTCAGCGGCAGTGCACGGCTTGACGTCCAGAAGAACAGCAGGTCACGCCGAGACATGCCCCTTCTAGGTGCATTGAGCGCCATGCGAAACCATCCCTTCACTAGTTCTGTCTTTTCCTCTTTACGGCAATCAACAATGGGAGGCAAATACACAATCTTCTGGAACAGCTGGTCGACGTCCAGACGCCAATTGAATAGATGAAACAATACCGCGCATGGCGTGCCAGAGACGAAGTTCCCGACCGAAGCGATCCCTTCCTTGATCTGATGGATGGCTGGGCGACGACAGGTGTACAAGACATGTTTGGTTAGATCTTGAGCAAAAGCGACGGGCTTGTCCCATTCCGCTTCGATGGGGTAACCGAAATGCTGGCACAACGTAGTGACTCTGGAGGTATTGCAAGGGGGGGGGGGGTGGGGGGGGGGAGGGAGGGAGAGGAGTTGTTCATGTCAATACACCACGACCACAAGAAGGAAAAGAAAAGATACAGAATAGCAGCGGGCAACGCACTCTTCCTTGACTTTTGCTCTCTTTTGTGCAGGAGTCAACGCGGGGCCTGAGTCGATCGCCATGTCGTCCATCCGGTAGTCCGTAAGAACCTCCACAACCCATCCAAGGGAGCGGTTGAAACATGATATCATCTTTGGTGAGATAAACCGGCAGGACATTTCATTTTCCGGATGACAGCGAACATTGATCAGGATGGGTGAGAGGGTCTCTGGAAACACATTGCCGTGCAATGCAGAGTGAGCCAACAATCCCCCGAACCCCCTGAAGTCCAGGTTTGCTGCCGGGATGCCGGATACCGGAAGGAGGCCCTGTGCACCTTCCCAGTGAGGGTCGGTTTCTACAGTGAAAGTCTTGATGGCAATCTGGAAAGCTTCCTTGGTGAGACCGCCCCCGATGCGAAACTCCGCATCCATGCCGTCCTCGCCCACGAAATTGAACGATGGCTTAAACGTGGCGTTCTTTACGTCCGTGCACCGGGCCCAGACAGCATCCGCCACTGAATTCTTTATTCGACCATTCGGGAGCGTTACCGATTCACTACGAGTTACTATAAAGTGTTGAAAAATGGCACTTGTCAGTTCGACTCCACCCAAAGGACAGCGAAGACCCATTCTCATTATGCACTGTTAACTGTCATGTCTACATCCCTGTCTTTGTTCAACCCATCGAGACGGTCACAGAAATGATTATACAAATCCTGATAAGACCGAGAGTCCTGTCCAGGCAAACATTGCATGCAACGACCTTCGTCGCCAAGGTCCTTGCCGGTTGACTCTGCAATGCTCCCAGAAAACAGGTCTTCCGCATCACGCGTATGGTAGAAAGGGAAACGGATCTTGTCTTGGGTGGAGGGCACTGCGGGCGCGCCGCTACTGGGTTCACAGGCCAGCAGTTCATTTGGTTTCGGCGTCGGTAAGGTCAGATCATAAGATTCAGGCGCCTTAACGTACTTCGAGGCGTCAGCAGGGAGGGATGGCGGTTTGACCCGTCGCTTGGTCTGCGATCTTGTCCCATACATGTGGCGCATGCCGGTACTGCCAGCATATCCACCGAAGACGGACTGCGTATCCTGGACGGTGCCGCTGGACGTCGCTGGCACACTCCTTTGTTCCACCGCATTGGGACACCAAGCATATGCCTCTGAAATGCGCTGTTGCGCTAGGTTGATGACAGCGAGTTACACCTCGTTAGGAAAGTGCCCCCGGGCGAACCCCATGCCTGGAAAGCATAACCAATTCTGGTAAGCCATTGCAGCTGCGTGTGCACCGCCGTCATCTACACATCTTCCGCCGTTCCCAACATCCATCAGGTCCTGAAGAAACTGGAGAGCGCCCTCTCTTCCCTTTTTGTAAAAACGCAAATCTTTGTCAGTCTTGTCGTAGTAGCCGGTTTGCTCCTTAAGAAACATGCTTACACACTGGTTGACCGGTAGTTTCTCGAAGGGCCTTGCGTTCTCCTCCGCTATCTTTCGTCTGACTTCCTCCGAGGTTGGAGGCAATGGGATTAAAAATGCATCATCAGGAGGTGAAGGCGAACGAGCAGGCACGTAAAGAGGTATGTTTGGGAATGCCAGATCTGGAGGTGAAGGCGAAGGAGCAGGCACGATATCTCCAGCTAACGGCGGAGCTCCCGATTCGGCGATTCCCGTATGTAGGCCAGGTGGGGTTTCCTAGGGGAGATGTTCCATGCGCCACATTTCGGCCCACGCAGGGCTTCAGACGTCTCCGTTTCGTCCTCTGGCAATCCCCCCTTTCCCTTTCCATTTATGGCCCCAGCCCTGCTGCGGCCCACGGCGGGGATAATGCCTTGCATCATGTTAGTGAAGTCGGCCGTCTCACCATCCGAGTCCGACTCAATGGGAGGCCCCATGGCAGCGCTCTTGACAGGATCAGACTGAATGTCGTTGTCTGGAGGGGGGGCACCGAAGTATCAGTAGAGGGGCGGGAGAGTGTATTTTGAGTACAGCGACATACAGTGCATAATCTCAAAGGCTTCCCAAATCTTCTTTGTCCGAAAGGATTTCTTATCGTGGAAGAATGGCATCCCGGATCTCCATATGGATGAAGGCGTACTGGAACGCCTCCTAATCGCCCCACGCCAAGCAATGGGGTTGAACCCAAATCACTTTGTCTATCTTCTTTGCATATTCCCAGAAAATGTCCCACTTAACATCGTTTGGCTGCCAGCCGAGCGGACTGATATTCTGATGCCTACGTTGTGAGAATTCGAATGCCCAAGGGAAATCTGGAAGATGGCGAAACGCTGCACTGATAGCGCCGTATATCTCGTTGTATCCCCATCCCTCGGTGAAGTCCACACCTACCTTGTACTAGCACGCATGTAATACATAAGTGACAAGTAGGGATGGCACGTATTATTGAAGACCATACCCTGTGCTTTGTGAGCGCCTCCTGGGTTCCGGTCGAAATGTTGCCAATGTCCAAGTGCGGTACGAAGAATACACAGCGACGAAACGTTTTGAGAGGCTTTGATTGCGGTTCCGGACCACCGTTTGCCTTCCTCTTTTTGGCTTTCGGTCGCCCCTTCTTGTCCCAGCTCCATGTCAAGCCAATGTCAAAGGAAGCAGGTGAAAGGAGAGCTAGGCCCGCACATGTCTCCAGGGACATTAAAGTTCATACGCTGAAGGGTTGTGGTACACATGCGGTGCTCTTTTGGTGTGCCACGAGTTTGTTACTACCGCCACTCGGTCTGGCTGATGCTTAGGCTCCCACATCGTTTTCCCTGAAGACTGTGTGACGACTGCCTCTCCACAATACAGTGGAGTGGGACTTTCCGTAAAATCCAAATTTGGGTGAGGAGCGTAGGACACCGGAGTACTGGCGGGCATCGGTGGCAACGCCAGACCTGCGTGACTGGGTTGTGGTCCGTGGTCTGTTGCATATTGCTGAAGCTCGGAGATTCAAGGAGTCGAAAGCATGGCCGAAAGCCCACTCATCGGCGTTTCTATGCCTCCCATAGCTCTTGGGGGACGGGTTGGGGTCGGACTAGCGTAGTGATCTGTGGAAACCACGTGTCCAGTGCGCCGAAAGCCCGCTTGGCCTTTTGCCTGAGCCAATGCCTGGACTTGAGCGGCGTAAAGGGGTCCGGTCGTCCTCATCGCAGCTTGGAGTTCCGCAATGGTGAAAGGTAGAGCAGCCGCCATCGCCGGCCGTAGCGGTGGGCGTTGCTTCAATACCTCGAGCCATACTTCGACGGGGAATGGGTTTACACCAGCTTTGCCGTTTTCGAGCGCTGAGTCGCCATTGTCGACGAGGATGACCCCGGCGCAAACCTGGACGTCTTTTTCGGTCAGTGGCATCGCGGTGCCGGATGCCACTGACCGAATGGCAGGTATTGAAAACGGCACCGTTTGTGGTGCCCGAAAAGGACCTCATCAAAAAAGTGGAAGTTACCGTGAAAGAAAAGGATCGCACACGTGATATCAATTATCCACATATTGCGACAGGTCCTCTCCTAATATGGTCCTAAGTAAAGGATCGTTACGGGAAAGTAGAGCACGCACACATAGCAGTCAAGCGCCCGGGCAATCGGGAATTCAGAGTCCTCACAAAGAGACGGAGACACAAAGGCTTGCGTTATGTGTCCGATGTGCACCCGGAGGGTGGTGGCTCACCGTTGGCGTGGAAAACTTCTCCCCTTCACTTTGGAGGCATACCAGTTGACCCTCGGGAGCGAGAGACCTACCTAGCAGAGAAACAACGGTCGGAGTTGGAGGAGGAGCGCAATTCGCCGCCACCGATGTACATTCAAGACAACAGACACAGGCGCCGACGATTTCAGAAGCGGCACAAAATATCCTGAAGAAGGTGCATCCTGGCCACTCTGTAAGGGGGACGGAACGCCAATTTAATGACCAGACTTTGTGGAGCAGGTCCGCAAAGTGGAGGAAATGACTGGTGCGCACGTATGGACAGTGTTGGTCAGCGAAGATGGGCTTAAGATCGATGTTCATGCGTCGTCCGCTTTCGAGATAATAAACGATGACACCACCCGGTTGTGTTTGCTGCAACTCGTTCACAAGAGGCTACAACGGAAGCAACGGGACGTTGCTCACAGCACTGCGAGGGCGTAGGGAGTTCCGTTACATCCATAGCACTGGGTAAACCGTAATGGCCTGCCAAAACACAGACAGGCGAGAGCTGAAGCCGGTGGGAGCCATTGTCATGCTAGAAAGCAGCACAGATCACTCGTCGTACTCGGCCCCGCTCCGTCATACGCAATGGCCGTGAGATCACACCTGAGGAAGCCTGTGGCCACCGTCCCGGTTCAGACAAAGAACTATCCGATTCGGTTGTACATAGGACGAAGCAATTTTTTTGGGTACGCTGGCATCCCAGTTCTTCAATTCATCGGCGTCCGCAAAGGGCAGATGTTAAATATGTGTTGCAAGTTATCATGTAAAACCAGTTTGTACAAAGTGTGTGAACAGAGCTTTTCAAGTAACAGTACCAAAGCGAATCCGGGTCACGAAAATTTCAAACTTTAACCAACAAGCGCTTATGGGGAGCCATCCGGGTCATAAATACCCGCTGCGAAATTTTTGGGTCGGAGCGCGCGTCCCAACATCTTTTTGAAGAAGTGCAGGATTCCGAAACTTTTTTTGAACGTTTTGACAGTGACTGACAGGGGGGCTGAACATGAGAACACGGACCGAGGTGGGTCCTTACGTAAGAGTTTTCTGGCCACCAAAGCACACTATTTGCACTTTTTCCCGACCTTCCCTCCCAGTCGCAAAACGTGTAAATACATGCCATCCAATTCCATAGAAAAGAAAGGCTACATCTGACAGAGTACACAAACAACTTGCCAAGCTATGGAATCTGGAACCCTCCATCTTTGGATAGCCACACTGCATACCACAAGCGATCCGCTAGGTGGCCCGCATCTCGGAAACCTAGATGCAGCTCCAACGTGTCGCTGCAAGTACGAGACGAAGGCAAACGATCCCCTTCGTGCTGAGCGATATCCACAACTATCCTGTCCTTCAGCGGCAGTGCACGGCTTGACGTCCAGAAGAACAGCAGGTCACGCCGAGACATGCCCCTTCTAGGTGCATTGAGCGCCATGCGAAACCATCCCTTCACTAGTTCTGTCTTTTCCTCTTTACGGCAATCAACAATGGGAGGCAAATACACAATCTTCTGGAACAGCTGGTCGACGTCCAGACGCCGATTGAATAGATGAAACAATACCGCGCATGGCGTGCCAGAGACGAAGTTGCCGACCGAAGCGATCCCTTCCTTGATCTGATGGATGGCTGGGCGACGACAGGTGTACAAGACATGTTTGGTTAGATCTTGAGCAAAAGCGACGGGCTTGTCCCATTCCGCTTCGATGGGGTAACCGAAATGCTGGCACAACGTAGTGACTCTGGAGGTATCGCAAGGGGGGGTGGTGGGGGGGGGAGGGAGGGAGAGGAGTTGTTCATGTCAATACACCACGACCACAAGAAGGAAAAGAAAAGATACAGAATAGCAGCGGGCAACGCACTCTTCCTCGACTTTTGCTCTCTTTTGTGCAGGAGTCAACGCGGGGCCTGAGTCGATCGCCATGTCGTCCATCCGGTAGTCCGTAAGAACCTCCACAACCCATCCAAGGGAGCGGTTGAAACGTGATATCATCTTTGGTGAGATAAACCGGCAGGACATTTCATTTTCCGGATGACAGCGAACATTGATCAGGATGGGTGAGAGGGTCTCTGGAAACACATTGCCGTGCAATGCAGAGTGAGCCAACAATCCCCCGAACCCCCTGAAGTCCAGGTTTGCTGCCGGGATGCCGGACACCGGAAGGAGGCACTGTGCACCTTCCCAGTGAGGGTCGGTTTCTACAGTGAAAGTCTTGATGGCAATCTGGAAAGCTTCCTTGGTGAGACCGCCCCCGATGCGAAACTCCGCATCCATGCCGTCCTCGCCCACGAAATTGAACGATGGCTTAAACGTGGCGTTCTTTACGTCCGTGCACCGGGCCCAGACAGCATCCGCCACTGAATTCTTTATTCGACCATTCGGGAGCGTTACCGATTCACTACGAGTTACTATAAAGTGTTGAAAAATGGCACTTGTCAGTTCGACTCCACCCAAAGGACAGCGAAGACCCATTCTCATTATGCACTGTTAACTGTCATGTCTACATCCCTGTCTTTGTTCAACCCATCGAGACGGTCACAGAAATGATTATACAAATCCTGATAAGACCGAGAGTCCTGTCCAGGCAAACATTGCATGCAACGACCTTCGTCGCCAAGGTCCTTGCCGGTTGACTCTGCAATGCTCCCAGAAAACAGGTCTTCCGCATCACGCGTATGGTAGAAAGGGAAACGGATCTTGTCTTGGGTGGAGGGCACTGCGGGCGCGCCGCTACTGGGTTCACGGGCCAGCAGTTCATTTGGTTTCGGCGTCGGTAAGGTCAGATCATAAGATTCAGGCGCCTTAACGTACTTCGAGGCGTCAGCAGGGAGGGATGGCGGTTTGACCCGTCGCTTGGTCTGCGATCTTGTCCCATACATGTGGCGCATGCCGGTACTGCCAGCATATCCACCGAAGACGGACTGCGTATCCTGGACGGTGCCGCTGGACGTCGCTGGCACACTCCTTTGTTCCACCGCATTGGGACACCAAGCATATGCCTCTGAAATGCGCTGTTGCGCTAGGTTGATGACAGCGAGTTACACCTCGTTAGGAAAGTGCCCCCGGGCGAACCCCATGCCTGGAAAGCATAACCAATTCTGGTAAGCCATTGCAGCTGCGTGTGCACCGCCGTCATCTACACATCTTCCGCCGTTCCCAACATCCATCAGGTCCTGAAGAAACTGGAGAGCGCCCTCTCTTCCCTTTTTGTAAAAACGCAAATCTTTGTCAGTCTTGTCGTAGTAGCCGGTTTGCTCCTTAAGAAACATGCTTACACACTGGTTGACCGGTAGTTTCTCGAAGGGCCTTGCGTTCTCCTCCGCTATCTTTCGTCTGACTTCCTCCGAGGTTGGAGGCAATGGGATTAAAAATGCATCATCAGGAGGTGAAGGCGAACGAGCAGGCACGTAAAGAGGTATGTTTGGGAATGCCAGATCTGGAGGTGAAGGCGAAGGAGCAGGCACGATATCTCCAGCTAACGGCGGAGCTCCCGATTCGGCGATTCCCGTATGTAGGCCAGGTGGGGTTTCCTAGGGGAGATGTTCCATGCGCCACATTTCGGCCCACGCAGGGCTTCAGACGTCTCCGTTTCGTCCTCTGGCAATCCCCCCTTTCCCTTTCCATTTATGGCCCCAGCCCTGCTGCGGCCCACGGCGGGGATAATGCCTTGCATCATGTTAGTGAAGTCGGCCGTCTCACCATCCGAGTCCGACTCAATGGGAGGCCCCATGGCAGCGCTCTTGACAGGATCAGACTGAATGTCGTTGTCTGGAGGGGGGGCACCGAAGTATCAGTAGAGGGGCGGGAGAGTGTATTTTGAGTACAGCGACATACAGTGCATAATCTCAAAGGCTTCCCAAATCTTCTTTGTCCGAAAGGATTTCTTATCGTGGAAGAATGGCATCCCGGATCTCCATATGGATGAAGGCGTACTGGAACGCCTCCTAATCGCCCCACGCCAAGCAATGGGGTTGAACCCAAATCACTTTGTCTATCTTCTTTGCATATTCCCAGAAAATGTCCCACTTAACATCGTTTGGCTGCCAGCCGAGCGGACTGATATTCTGATGCCTACGTTGTGAGAATTCGAATGCCCAAGGGAAATCTGGAAGATGGCGAAACGCTGCACTGATAGCGCCGTATATCTCGTTGTATCCCCATCCCTCGGTGAAGTCCACACCTACTTTGTACTAGCACGCATGTAATACATAAGTGACAAGTAGGGATGGCACGTATTATTGAAGACCATACCCTGTGCTTTGTAAGCGCCTCCTGGGTACCGGTCGAAATGTTGCCAATGTCCAAGTGCGGTACGAAGAATACAAAGCGACGAAACGTCTTGAGAGGCTTGAATTGCGGTTCCGGACCACCGTTTGCCTTCCTCTTTTTGGCTTTCGGTCGCCCCTTCTCGTCCCAGCTCAATGTCAAGCCAATGTCAAAGGAAGCAGGTGAAAGGAGGGCTAGGCCCGCACATGTCTCCAGGGACATTAAAGTTCATACGCTGAAGGGTTGTGGTCCACATGCGGTGCTCTTTTGGTGTGCCACGAGTTTGTTACTACCGCCACTTGGGCTGGCTGATGCTTAGGCTCCCACATCGTTTTCCCTGAAGACTGTGTGACGACTGCCTCTCCACAATACAGTGGAGTGGGACTTTCCGTAAAATCCAAATTTGGGTGAGGAGCGTAGGACACCGGAGTACTGGCGGGCATCGGTGGCAACGCCAGACCTGCGTGACTGGGTTGTGGTCCGTGGTCTGTTGCGTATTGCTGAAGCTCGGAGATTCAAGGAGTCGAAAGCATGGCCGAAAGCCCACTCATCGGCGTTTCTATGCCTCCCATAGCTCTTGGGGGACGGGTTGGGGTCGGACTAGCGTAGTGATCTGTGGAATCCACGTGTCCAGTGCGCCGAAAGCCCGCTTGGCCTTTTGCCTGAGCCAATGCCTGGACTTGAGCGGCGTAAAGGGGTCCGGTCGTCCTCATCGCAGCTTGGAGTTCCGCAATGGTGAAAGGTAGAGCAGCCGCCATCGCCGGCCGTAGCGGTGGGCGTTGCTTCAATACCTCGAGCCATACTTCGACGGGGAATGGGTTTACACCAGCTTTGCCGTTTTCGAGCGCTGAGTCGCCATTGTCGACGAGGATGACCCCGGCGCAAACCTGGACGTCTTTTTCGGTCAGTGGCATCGCGGTGCCGGATGCCACTGACCGAATGGCAGGTATTGAAAACGGCACCGTTTGTGGTGCCCGAAAAGGACCTCATCAAAAAAGTGGAAGTTACCGTGAAAGAAAAGGATCGCACACGTGATATCAATTATCCACATATTGCGACAGGTCCTCTCCTAATATGGTCCTAAGTAAAGGATCGTTACGGGAAAGTAGAGCACGCACACATAGCAGTCAAGCGCCCGGGCAAGCGGGAATTCAGAGTCCTCACAAAGAGACGGAGACACAAAGGCTTGCGTTATGTGTCCGATGTGCACCCGGAGGGTGGTGGCTCACCGTTGGCGTGGAAAACTTCTCCCCTTCACTTTGGAGGCATACCAGTTGACCCTCGGGAGCGAGAGACCTACCTAGCAGAGAAACAACGGTCGGAGTCGGAGGAGGAGCGCAATTCGCCGCCACCGATGTACATTCAAGACAACAGACACAGGCGCCGACGATTTCAGAAGCGGCACAAAATATCCTGAAGAAGGTGCATCCTGGCCACTCTGTAAGGGGGACGGAACGCCAATTTAATGACCAGACTTTGTGGAGCAGGTCCGCAAAGTGGAGGAAATGACTGGTGCGCACGTATGGACAGTGTTGGTCAGCGAAGATGGGCTTAAGATCGATGTTCATGCGTCGTCCGCTTTCGAGATAATAAACGATGACACCACCCGGTTGTGTTTGCTGCAACTCGTTCACAAGAGGCTACGACGGAAGCAACGGGACGTTGCTCACAGCACTGCGAGGGCGTAGGGAGTTCCGTTACATCCATAGCACTGGGTAAACCGTAATGGCCTGCCAAAACACAGACAGGCGAGAGCTGAAGCCGGTGGGAGCCATTGTCATGCTAGAAAGCAGCACAGATCACTCGTCGTACTCGGCCCCGCTCCGTCATACGCAATGGCCGTGAGATCACACCTGAGGAAGCCTGTGGCCACCGTCCCGGTTCAGACAAAGAACTATCCGATTCGGTTGTACATAGGACGAAGCAATTTTTTTGGGTACGCTGGCATCCCAGTTCTTCAATTCATCGGCGTCCGCAAAGGGCAGATGTTAAATATGTGTTGCAAGTTATCATGTAAAACCAGTTTGTACAAAGTGTGTGAACAGAGCTGTTATGATCTCGACGACGGAGGCGGAAGCAAAGTAGAGAAGACAGGGCGAGAGTGATAGGCGACAAGAGATTGTATTGGCGAAACAAGAAACAAGGACTAGAACAGGAGATGAGAAGAACTGGTGTTGATCTGCTGGGGAGGAAGGGAACGGACGAAGAGAGGCCGGCTATTTATAGATAGGCAACCCAGCGAATCAGAGAACAACAACAACAAGAGGGGACTGGGGGGGCGACAGCTATGCTCCTAGAGCGTGCGTGGCGAGCGTAGAGAGCATTGCTACAGCTGCTGGCTATGGGGAAGTAGTGTGGGGTGTGGAGAAGCCAAGGGGGGATTGGCGAAATGAGAGGAGAGAGGAGGAGTAGCGATATTGCAAGAGGATTGGCGAAATGAGAGGAGCGAGGGGAGCGGCATTGACATTGACATTGACACTGACATTGACACTGACATTGACACTGACATTGACACTGACATTGACATTGACATTGGCGTTTGACATTTGGCGGTTGACATTGGCGGCTGTCAGTAGGTAAGCTTATGGTATGGGCGCATCGTCCATAACAAGAGCTTTTCAAGTAACAGTACCAAAGCGAATCCGGGTCACGAATTGAGTGGCTAGCATTCGAACAGCCCCTCCTTGCAAAAAGGAATGGGGCGGATATGTACCAGAATTTGCCATTTCGCTAAGAGATCTCTTTTGTTTATGTACAGAAGCGCATGCTGGCAGGATACCTAATATATGTGAACCCCAACTGCCTAACTACGTGGTACTGCCTAAACTGGCGGAAACAGCTGCCTACATTGTTGGTAAGCATAAGCGTGATTTCCATCATGTGGATATTTCAAGACTGCGGATAATGAATTCAGCCGATAACTTTTTCGAGATGTTCTCAGGTACGCGGCGTGCCCAGCGTGAAGGGGTTGATGCCCCACTGTGGGAGATCGCGAATGTTTCAACTACTTAGCGCTGCTATGTCGCTTGACGCTATCGTAAAAATTCGAATTGCTGAGAGCCTTGTTAATGCGAAGCAATGCATTTGCGTCTGCCGCCGGGAAGTCCGTAATACGGCCCCGCACCTTGGTCAACTCGGTCGTGATGATATGCAGGTTACGCGCCGGGATCGTCTCAATCTCCAGAGGCAAGAAGGTTGGAGGTACGGCGATAACACCGGGCAGCAACGCCATCAAAAAGGCGTAGTGACTGCCCTTCCGTGCAAGGTCGGTCATGTTCTTGACGACATCCTGTATGACCTCATCGACTCTTCTTTCCGCAGCCAGGGAGATGGAGGGCCAGTCGGGGTTGATATCCCCATGAGAGGAGATGGAGGGCGTGAAAGGCGTCAGTAGCGGAAGGTGTTGTGGGGGTGGGGGCCTTTGTGGGAGCCTGTCCGTCAGGCTGGCATGCTCCGCAAGCGCGTATAAAAGCTCAGGTCTCCCTCTGAGGTACAGTTTGAGCCAATCCGACGCCTCATTCTTCTTGGGGGGACGACTGTTGATTTGCTTGTATAGCTCTACAAGGCCGCTCTTGAACTCCGTCCAACTGATGAACACGTTAAGGAGAGCGACCCGCCTGCTGGCTTGCGCCGTCGCGAACATTTTCATCGAGAGCATAAGATTCTTCTCGGCCACTGTCGGGGGGTCAGCCGTTGGGGTTGATACCCCGGTGATTGGAACCCTTAAATAACTCTCCTGATCGGTGCCCGTATACTGGTCCAGACCCGAGATGAGCAAGTGTGCAGTGGTATCCAGCGTCATGATGGCCCCCGCTCCTCGGCAATATTCGCGCAGACCTGCGGCGATATCATCTGGTGTCTTCGGCTGTCCTGATGGATGGCGAGAGATGATGCCTGCTGTCGAGGACATGACATCCCATGCTTTGCGGGCTGCGTTGGCAAAATAGCCACTGGCTGGTTCGCGACCTTCTTCGATGGCCACAATAATACTCTGGGACATTGTCGCGTCTAATTCTGGCGCAACTTGCGAGACGGGCCGCACACTGGAGTATGAGATAGGGCTGACATCCCCTTGTTGCATATGGTGCTGTTGGATCATAGCCCGTGTGTTGTCTACCGGTTCGGGAGTAAGCACCTCCGTTGTCACGCTTGTGCGGGAGACAGTTTGTCAGTCTGCGTCTTGTTCTTTGATGATCTCCAGCCCATCGTCATCATCGCTCTTCGGGGATGGTGAAGGGGGGTTCGAGGAGCGAGACATGGAAGACATTGTGGATTTTGTACGTAGGCGGGAGCTTGAGCCGGTAGGCGACGGGATTGATTTTTTCAACGATGGGGAATGGCCCAATCTTGCGATGGTCGAGTTTCTGAGAGGGCCGGGTTGTATGGAGGTTTTTGCGGAGGAGCCAGACGTGGTCGCCAGGCTTGAAGTCCGGTCCAGGAATTCGTTTGGCGTCGGCGTAGCGCTTCACTTGATCTTGGGCCTCCTTGAGCTCGAGGGCGAGCTGTTCATGGACTTCCCTGATTTGTTTAGCGCGGGCTTCAGCGGCGGGGTTGACGGATTCGGAGGTAGCAGAGGCCGCAAAACTGAAGCGGGGGTGGAGACCCTTGTTGGCGTAGAAGGGGGTGGTCTGGGAGGCGGACTGATGGGTGTTGTTGTAGGCGAACTCGGCGGACGACAGAAGCTGTTTCCAGTTGTCCTGTTGGTGGTTGCAAAAGCATCGGAGATACTGCTCCAGGATCTGGTTGGTGCGTTCCGTCTGGCCACCGCTCTGGGGGTGGAAGGCCGAGGAGAGGTTGGCTTTTGCCCCAAGGAGTTCGAGAAGTCGACGCCAGAACCGGGACTTAAACTGGGGTCCTTGGTCAGAGATGACGTCGTCGGGGAGGCCGTGGAGTCGGATGATGTTGTGGAAGACTAGGACGGCGGTGGATTCGGCGGATTCTGACTCTCTGCAGGCGATGAAGTGGGCCATCTTGGTGAGGCGACAGTTGACGTTCAGGATGGAGTCGTACCCGTCCACGGGAGGCAGACCGGTGATAAAGTCCAGGGACCAAGATCCCCAAGGGCGAGTAGGGATACTGTTGGGCTGGAGTAGGCCGTATGGTTTGTGTCGACTGGATTTCGCTTGGCTACAGGTATCGCAGGACTTGACGTAGGCCTTGACGAAGCGCCACTGGCTGGGCCACCAGTAGTTGCGGGAGGCGAGTTCGAGCGTCTTGGACATCCCAAAGTGGCCAGCTAGGGGAGTATCGTGCATGTCGTGGCAGACTTCAGGTCGGAGCTCGTTGGTGGGGATATAGACCAGGTTATCGTGCAGCAGGATCCCATCTTCATCTGAGAATCGCTTGATACGATCTTGGGTTTCCTCAATTCGTTGGGCGAGGGGTATCTTGAGCTTTTCGCGAATGGTCTTAGCGAGGGGATCAGAGGCCTGGGCGGCCTTAATCTTGTCAAGCAGCGTGGTATCCATGGGTGTGAGGTAGGCAGCCGCGAGTCGAAGGCGTTCGGGAGTCAAAATTGTGGTTGCCTGGGAGCGGAACGCTTCTTCCCCCTCTTTTAGCTCATGTTCGGAGCGTCGGGAGAGGGCATCGGCTTGGTGCTGCTGGGGACCAGGGCGATAGGTAATGACAAAGTCAAAATCCGAGAAGAATATCGACCAGCGGGCTTGGCGGCGGTTCAGGGTGCGGGTGGTCATGAAGTACTGAAGGTTTTTGTGGTCGGAGTAAACGGTGATCTTGTGACGGGCGCCAATGAGATGGTGGCGCCACTGGGCAAAGGAGTCTTGGATGGCCAGGAGTTCCTTGTCGTATATCTCGTAGTTGATCTCTTCGGCCGTGAATTTGCGAGAGTGGAAGGCCACGGGGTGGAGCTGATTGTCCTGGTCAGGTTGGAGGAGAACTGCGCCAAGAGCGAAGCCGGAGGCATCAGTTTCGACGACGAAGGGCTTCTCTGGGTCAGGGTGAGCAAGGATGGGGGCGGGGGTGAATGCTTTCTTCAGGTTCTCGAAGGCGGTGTTTGCGGCGGGTGTCCAGGCGTACGGGATGTCTTTCCGGGTCAGGGCTGTGAGCGGGGTAGCGATCTTGGAATAACCTTGGATGAATCGGCGATAGAAGTTGGCAAAGCCGAGGAACCGCTGGACGCCTTTGACATTCTTGGGAGGTTCCAATCCGTGATGGCAGCGATCTTCTTGGGGTCCATCTGGATGCCTTTCTTGGAGATGATGAAGCCTAGGAACTCAACGGATTCACGGTTGAATTCGCACTTCTCTGGTTTGGCGTGCAACCCATGCTGTCGGAGGCGGGACAAGACTTCGCGGACATGTTTGGGGTGATCTTCGGGGTTCTTGGAGAAAATCAGGATATCGTCGAGGTAGACAACAACAAACACATCGAGAATGTCGCGGAAGATGTCGTTCATCAGGTACTGGAAGACGCCAGGAGCATTGCTGAGTCCAAAGGGCATGACATTGTATTCGAATAGGCCGTAGCGGCAGCGGAAGGCGGTCTTCCATTCATCGCCCGGGCGCATGCGTAAGAGGTTATAAGCGCCGCGGAGGTCGATCTTGGTGAGACGGCGGGCGCCGCGCAAACAATCCATTGTTATGATCTCGACGACGGAGGCGGAAGCGAAGTAGAGAAGACAGGGCGAGAGTGATAGGCGACAAGAGATTGTATTGGCGAAACAAGAAACAAGGACTAGAACAGGAGATGAGAAGAAGTGGTGTTGATCTGCTGGGGAGGAAGGGAACGGACGAAGAGAGGCCGGCTATTTATAGATAGGCAACCCAGCAGATCAGAGAACAACAACAACAAGAGGGGACTGGGGGGGCGCCAGCTATGCTCCTAGAGCGTGCGTGGCGAGCGTAGGGAGCATTGCTACAGCTGCTGGCTATGGGGAAGTAGTGGGGGGTGTTGAGAAGCCGAGGGGGATTGGCGAAATGAGAGGAGAGAGGAGGAGTGGCGATATTGCAAGAGGATTGGCAAAATGAGAGGAGAGAGGGGGAGTGGCATTGACATTGACATTGACACTGACATTGACATTGACATTGACACTGACATTGACACTGACATTGACATTGACATTGACGTTTGACATTTGGCGGTTGACATTGGTGGCTGTCAGTAGGTAAGCTTATGGTATGGGCGCGTCGTCCATAACATCACCCCTCTCTTTAGCGGCGGCGGCGGCGGCGTCGAGTTTGGTGTGGCAGCAGAGGAGGTGCTACGGGGACAGAGGAAGGCTTGTTGGGGTACGCGCTGTGGAAGTCCTGGAGGAGTGCGTCGGTATGGGTGAGGTGTTCCACGGGCTCCCAGGTGTTCTCGGAGTCAGGCCAGCCCTGCCATTTGACCAAGTACTGAAGGCGACGACAATGGATGCGAGAGTCAAGGATGGCTTCGACAACCCACTCTTCTTGACCCTCAACGGTCTCTGGGGTCACGGGTTCGGGTTCGTGTCATTCGGGGATGGTGAAGGGGGGTTCGAGGAGCGAGACATGGAAGACATTGTGGATTTTGTACGTAGGCGGGAGCTTGAGCCGGTAGGCGACGGGATTGATTTTTTCAACGATGGGGAATGGCCCAATCTTGCGATGGTCGAGTTTCTGAGAGGGCCGGGTTGTATGGAGGTTTTTGCGGAGGAGCCAGACGTGGTCGCCAGGCTTGAAGTCCGGTCCAGGAATTCGTTTGGCGTCGGCGTAGCGCTTCACTTGATCTTGGGCCTCCTTGAGCTCGAGGGCGAGCTGTTCATGGACTTCCCTGATTTGTTTAGCGCGGGCTTCAGCGGCGGGGTTGACGGATTCGGAGGTAGCAGAGGCCGCAAAACTGAAGCGGGGGTGGAGACCCTTGTTGGCGTAGAAGGGGGTGGTCTGGGAGGCGGACTGATGGGTGTTGTTGTAGGCGAACTCGGCGGACGACAGAAGCTGTTTCCAGTTGTCCTGTTGGTGGTTGCAAAAGCATCGGAGATACTGCTCCAGGATCTGGTTGGTGCGTTCCGTCTGGCCATCGCTCTGGGGGTGGAAGGCCGAGGAGAGGTTGGCTTTTGCCCCAAGGAGTTCGAGAAGTCGACGCCAGAACCGGGACTTAAACTGGGGTCCTCGGTCAGAGATGACGTCGTCGGGGAGGCCGTGGAGACGGATGATGTTGTGGAAGACTAGGTCGGCGGTGGATTCGGCGGATTCTGACTCGCTGCAGGCGATGAAGTGGGCCATCTTGGTGAGGCGACAGTTGACGTTCAGGATGGAGTCGTACCCGTCCACGGGAGGCAGACCGGTGATAAAGTCCAGGGACCAAGATCCCCAAGGGCGGGTAGGGATACTGTTGGGCTGGAGTAGGCCGTATGGTTTGTGTCGACTGGATTTCGCTTGGCTACAGGTATCGCAGGACTTGACGTAGGCCTTGACGAAGCGCCACTGGCTGGGCCACCAGTAGTTGCGGGAGGCGAGTTCGAGCGTCTTGGACATCCCAAAGTGGCCGGCTAGGGGAGTATCGTGCATGTCGTGGCAGACTTCAGCTCGGAGCTCGTTGGTGGGGACATAGACCAGGTTATCGTGCAGCAGGATCCCATCTTCATCTGAGAACCGCTTGATACGATCTTGGGTTTCCTCAGTTCGTTGGGCGAGGGGTATCTTGAGCTTTTCGCGAATGGTCTTAGCGAGGGGATCAGAGGCCTGGGCGGCCTTAATCTTGTCAAGCAGCGTGGTATCCATGGGTGTGAGGTAGGCAGCCGCGAGTCGAAGGCGTTCGGGAGTCAAAATTGTGGTTGCCTGGGAGCGGAACGCTTCTTCCCCCTCTTTTAGCTCATGTTCGGAGCGTCGGGAGAGGGCATCGGCTTGGTGCTGCTGGGGACCGGGGCGATAGGTAATGACAAAGTCAAAATCCGAGAAGAATATCGACCAGCGGGCTTGGCGGCGGTTCAGGGTGCGGGTGGTCATGAAGTACTGAAGGTTTTTGTGGTCGGAGTAAACGGTGATCTTGTGACGGGCGCCAATGAGATGGTGGCGCCACTGGGCAAAGGAGTCTTGGATGGCCAGAAGTTCCTTGTCGTAGATCTCGTAGTTGATCTCTTCGGCCGTGAATTTGCGAGAGTGGAAGGCCACGGGGTGGAGCTGATTGTCCTGGTCAGGTTGGAGGAGAACTGCGCCAAGAGCGAAGTCGGAGGCGTCAGTTTCGACGACGAAGGGCTTCTCTGGGTCAGGGTGAGCAAGGATGGGGGCGGTGGTGAATGCTTTCTTCAGGTTCTCGAAGGCGGTGTTTGCGGCGGGTGTCCAGGCGTACGGGATGTCTTTCCGGGTCAGGGCTGTGAGCGGGGTAGCGATCTTGGAATAACCTTGGATGAATCGGCGATAGAAGTTGGCAAAGCCGAGGAACCGCTGGACGCCTTTGACATTCTTGGGAGGTTCCCAATCCGTGATGGCAGCGATCTTCTTGGGGTCCATCTGGATGCCTTTCTTGGAGATGATGAAGCCTAGGAACTCAACGGATTCGCGGTTGAATTCGCACTTCTCTGGTTTGGCGTACAACCCATGCTGTCGGAGGCGGGACAAGACTTCGCGGACATGTTTGGGGTGATCTTCGGGGTTCTTGGAGAATATCAGGATATCGTCGAGGTAGACGACAACAAACACATCGAGAATGTCGCGGAAGATGTCGTTCATCAGGTACTGGAAGACGCCAGGAGCATTGCTGAGTCCAAAGGGCATGACATTGTATTCAAATAGGCCGTAGCGGCAGCGGAAGGCGGTCTTCCATTCATCGCCCGGGCGCATGCGTAAGAGGTTATAAGCGCCGCGGAGGTCGATCTTGGTGAGACGGCGGGCGCCGCGCAAACAATCCATGATACCGTTGATCAGGGGCAGGGGGTAGCGATTCTTCACCATGATGCTGTTCAGGCCTCGATAATCGACGCAGAGGCGGAGAGAACCGTCCTTTTTTTTCACGAATAAGACTGGGGCACCGGCAGGGGACTTTGAGGGTTTGATGAATCCTTTGGCGAGGTTTTCTTCGAGGTATTCGCAGAGTGCCTTCATTTCTGGTTCGCTGAGGCTGTAGATCGGGCCGAAAGGTGGCTGCTTGCCTTCTTCCAGATCGATTGGACAGTCGTAGGGCCGGTGCTTCGGGGAGAGTGTCAGCATTTCTCTTTTCGAAAACGTCGGCGAAGTCTCGATACTCGGGGCGCAGGAAGTCTTTGATGTCTTTCTCGGGTGTCGGGGGTTTACTGGGGCTAGGCGAGGCTGGGAGATCGGGTTTCGCAGGGTTGGCGTAGGCGACAAAGACCTGGTCATGCCTTGCTGCGACCCGGAAGGCTGGGGCGGAGATGAACGAGACTCGGAGCGGCGTGGGAGCCGGTCCTGGGGTGCTGAAGCGAGATACCTTGGGTACTGGAATCGACCATGTTTCGTCGACGGGGACTTCATCCTGGGGGATGCGGATCAAGGGCTCGGGGGTTCTGGCGGGTGCTGGGCTCGGGGGTGCTGGAGAGTTGTCCCAATTCGCGAATTCATGGTACAGACAGTCGCAACGGAAACCGACCGAAAGGTTCTTGAAGTCAAGGTTAATGTCGTGGAGGCGGAGCCAGGGGAGACCAAGGAGGATTGGAGCATGGGGTGATTTGGTGACATGGAAGACGAGTTCTTCGAAGTGGTCGTCGACCCACATGCCTACTGGTTGGGTGTGATGGGTGATTGGCCCAGCAGAGCTGGGTTGACCGTCAACGAGTTCGATCGTCAGTGGACGCTGATGCGGGACTAGGGCGATGCGGTGTTTGCGGGCAAAGTCTCTGTCGATGAAGCAGGACAGGGCACCATTGTCGATCATGGCTGAGGTAGGTATTGGGGCGCGGCTGGATGATACCATGATGGTAACGGGGTAGTTGAAGGGTTCGAGGGGACCCAGCGCAAGCATGGCGCGGGGGTTAATTTCGGAGTTTTCGACATGGGCAGCGGCTAGGAGGGTTGTGTCGGCTATAACGGAGTCGGGAACCAGGGGGGTGGCCTCTCCCGTTGCAGGAGCTGTGAGGTTAGGAGGCCCGGGGCGGTGTGTGTTGTCCAGTCGCTGGGGCTTTACTGCGGCTGGACTTTGGGAAAACCCTGTTCGGTGGAGGGTTCTTTGATGTCGACGTTGGCGGCACGGGTGGTGGTCTTGTTCTTGACGGGGCAGACTTTTGCAATGTGCCCCGCACCACCGCAGTAAAGGCAGAGGCTGTTGGAAATGCGGCGTTGGCGTTCCTGAGGGCTCAGAGGGCCGCGGGGACGAGCGGCGTCAATCTGCATAGGCTCGCTGTGGTCGACAGTGGTGGTAGTAGTAAACGAGGTATGGGGAACTGGGAAGGTCTGGCGGCTTCTGTTTCGCTCCAGGCGGCGCTCAAACAGCCGGTTATCGCACTGGATAGCCTGCTCCATCACCACATCAATGGTGGCCGCAGGGGGCATCGTGAGCATCAGGTCTTTGACGTCTTCTTTGAGGCCACGGCGGAAGGTAGCGATCAGGGCCTGGTCGTTCCAGGAGACATCGCATTGTAGCTGGCGGAACTCAGCGACGTACTCGGTTGCTGCACGGGTTTGGCGAAGGTTCTGGAGCTTGTTTTCAGAGGTGCGGACCCTGTCGCTGTCTCCGAAGACCGATTGCATCTGACTGATAAAACTATCGAAGTCCTGAAGGCTGTGATCTTGGCGTTCGACTAGGGGCGCCATCCAGGCTTGCGCAGTGCCGGTGAGGTAGGTGCCAATAGTTTGGATCTTGATGATGTCGCTGGGGTAGCGGTCGGGCTGGAGAGCAAACATCAACCGGATGTTGTTCAACCACCCACGGAATTTGCTGCGGGTACCATCAAACTTCTCGGGCGAGCTGATTCTTGGCTCCAGAGCAGGGTTGGCGACTTGGGGATGGGTGTACGTATCGGCTTGAACCTGGGCGGCGATGCTCTGGGCAGCTTGTGCGTCGGCTTGGGCTTGCGCTAGGTTGGCCTGCAAGTTGGCGTTTTGGCTTTGCAAGGCGGCGATGGCTTGGCACATATCGTTCCATTGCTTGGCGGTCTTGGCGGTGAAAGGTACGGATTCGGGTTGGGACATGGCGAAAAAGGTTTGTCGGATGCAGGGCTGGACGGGTTCTGAACTTCGCAGTGTTGCAGCAGATCAAACTGTTATGATCTCGACGACGGAGGCGGAAGCAAAGTAGAGAAGACAGGGCGAGAGTGATAGGCGACAAGAGATTGTATTGGCGAAACAAGAAACAAGGACTAGAACAGGAGATGAGAAGAACTGGTGTTGATCTGCTGGGGAGGAAGGGAACGGACGAAGAGAGGCCGGCTATTTATAGATAGGCAACCCAGCGAATCAGAGAACAACAACAACAAGAGGGGACTGGGGGGGCGACAGCTATGCTCCTAGAGCGTGCGTGGCGAGCGTAGAGAGCATTGCTACAGCTGCTGGCTATGGGGAAGTAGTGTGGGGTGTGGAGAAGCCAAGGGGGGATTGGCGAGATGAGAGGAGAGAGGAGGAGTAGCGATATTGCAAGAGGATTGGCGAAATGAGAGGAGCGAGGGGAGCGGCATTGACATTGACATTGACACTGACATTGACACTGACATTGACACTGACATTGACACTGACATTGACATTGACATTGGCGTTTGACATTTGGCGGTTGACATTGGCGGCTGTCAGTAGGTAAGCTTATGGTATGGGCGCGTCGTCCGTAACAAGAGCTTTTCAAGTAACAGTACCAAAGCGAATCCGGGTCACGAATTGAGTGGCTAGCATTCGAACAGCCCCTCCTTGCAAAAAGGAATGGGGCGGATATGTACCAGAATTTGCCATTTCGCTAAGAGATCTCTTTTGTTTATGTACAGAAGCGCATGCTGGCAGGATACCTAATATATGTGAACCCCAACTGCCTAACTACGTGGTACTGCCTAAACTGGCGGAAACAGCTGCCTACATTGTTGGTAAGCATAAGCGTGATTTCCATCATGTGGATATTTCAAGACTGCGGATAATGAATTCAGCCGATAACTTTTTCGAGATGTTCTCAGGTACGCGGCGTGCCCAGCGTGAAGGGGTTGATGCCCCACTGTGGGAGATCGCGAATGTTTCAACTACTTAGCGCTGCTATGTCGCTTGACGCTATCGTAAAAATTCGAATTGCTGAGAGCCTTGTTAATGCGAAGCAATGCATTTGCGTCTGCCGCCGGGAAGTCCGTAATACGGCCCCGCACCTTGGTCAACTCGGTCGTGATGATATGCAGGTTACGCGCCGGGATCGTCTCAATCTCCAGAGGCAAGAAGGTTGGAGGTACGGCGATAACACCGGGCAGCAACGCCATCAAAAAGGCGTAGTGACTGCCCTTCCGTGCAAGGTCGGTCATGTTCTTGACGACATCCTGTATGACCTCATCGACTCTTCTTTCCGCAGCCAGGGAGATGGAGGGCCAGTCGGGGTTGATATCCCCATGAGAGGAGATGGAGGGCGTGAAAGGCGTCAGTAGCGGAAGGTGTTGTGGGGGTGGGGGCCTTTGTGGGAGCCTGTCCGTCAGGCTGGCATGCTCCGCAAGCGCGTATAAAAGCTCAGGTCTCCCTCTGAGGTACAGTTTGAGCCAATCCGACGCCTCATTCTTCTTGGGGGGACGACTGTTGATTTGCTCGTATAGCTCTACAAGGCCGCTCTTGAACTCCGTCCAACTGATGAACACGTTAAGGAGAGCGACCCGCCTGCTGGCTTGCGCCGTCGCGAACATTTTCATCGAGAGCATAAGATTCTTCTCGGCCACTGTCGGGGGGTCAGCCGTTGGGGTTGATACCCCGGTGATTGAAACCCTTAAATAACTCTCCTGATCGGTGCCCGTATACTGGTCCAGACCCGAGATGAGCAAGTGTGCAGTGGTATCCAGCGTCATGATGGCCCCCGCTCCTCGGCAATATTCGCGCAGACCTGCGGCGATATCATCTGGTGTCTTCGGCTGTCCTGATGGATGGCGAGAGATGATGCCTGCTGTTGAGGACATGACATCCCATGCTTTGCGGGCTGCGTTGGCAAAATAGCCACTGGCTGGTTCGCGACCTTCTTCGATGGCCACAATAATACTCTGGGACATTGTTGCGTCTAATTCTGGCGCAACTTGCGAGACGGGCCGCACACTGGAGTATGAGATAGGGCTGACATCCCCTTGTTGCATATGGTGCTGTTGGATTATAGCCCGTGTGTTGTCTACCGGTTCGGGAGTAAGCACCTCCGTTGTCACGCTTGTGCGGCAGACAGTTTGTCCGTCTGCGTCTTGTTCTTCGATGATCTCCAGCCCATCGTCATCATCGCTCTTGCTAGTGTTGATATCCTCATCATTCTCGATGTGAATATCGTTCCCATCGCAGACGTCCATCCCGTCCAGCCCATCGTCGTCGTGAGCGAGGGCGTGTTGGATGGGCAGAGGGAGGGCGTGTTGGGTGGGCAGAGCCGTTGCGTTGGCGATTTGTGGGGGCCGAACTCGCCCTGACGCCCGGTTACGCTCTCGAATCTGCATAAGTCAGAAAGGGGTTAGAAAAAACATACTCTCACGCCTCAAAGCCACACCCCTTCTGTCTCTTACGCGCCTTGGCGTATAATAGTGTCGCCCGAGGTACGGAAAAGGATCCATCCCCCTGTAGTCCACCACTTTGCCACGCGTCGCAGGCATTATGGTTGCTGTTACACGGAAAAGAAAGGACGTAGTTGTTACTAATAACCGGCCGTGACATATTCCCTTTCGTGAAAGGGGTCGGGACTCACCAAGTTGATACTGATTGGTTCCTTGCAAGAAAGACGCTGTTGGTAGAGCCGTTGTTGTTGGGTATCGGAAGGGGGTGGTCATTGTCCCGCTGTGATTTGCGAGTGGGACGCTGTTGGTAGAGCCATTGTTGTTGGGTGTGAGAAGGGTGGTCGTTGTCCCGCTGTGATTGGCGAGAGGAAGGCCGTTGGTACAGCCGATGTTGTTGGGTATCTGAAAAGGGTGGAAGTTGTCCAGTTGTGGTTTCAGGGGTTTGCGAGAGGGAAGCTTTTAATACAGCCGTTGTTGTTGAGTACCGGAAAAGGGTGGAAGTTGTCCAGCTGTGGTTTCTGGGCCTGGAAGGGAAGCAGATGCGATCTGTGTGGAGAAAAACAGATGCGATACCCTTTCCCCCGCTACCAGCTTCCTTGTGACGCCTAAAACCGGAAGAAAGGGGATGCATGCATGTGACAGTCCCCCACCCCGACGAAAACGCGCTGTCGAAATCGCTACTTACGCAAGATTTCTAGGGAGAAACCTTAGGTAATGACACCCTTCTCACCTCCCAAGCTTGCATTACCCCTCATGCAGAAACACACGCTTTTTCCCCCTGACAATCTTTATCCCACTTTCACACCACAAAATACGTACCAAGGTGAAGAGGATTTACCAGAACCTTGGCAATCACGCCAGTCGTGGCTCCCGCTGGACCATGCTCACCACACACTTTGTCCCCTGCGTTTTGATCCCCCTGACACAATTCTTCAGAGCTCAGTGGAATAGGTCGCCGTTTCCGACCTACCACCCAACTGCACCATACTGGATGAGCGGCCACGTGGATGGGCAAGTGCCTCTTCGCCGACTGCTTCTGTGCAACGGTTCAGCACAGACTGGAGTATACGCACGAGGTCAAGAAGGGGAACAGCCGATACCTTAGCGGATGGGCATTGATGTAAATCTTTTCTACCCAACACTGTATACGTTGATCAGAACACCAAGCACCAAGGATGGAGTGTTGTGAACTCAAACGCGTTTCCATCAACCCTTGATATCCTAGTTCAGCTTACCCCAACCTTAACACTAGCCTGGCCATTGAAACACATGTACGCCACATGTTCTAGCTCCCAGTCTCCAGCTCAACGGCAATCGTGTTTGGCCCTAAAAACGTTGTCTTTAGACCCCGGGGGATCGATTCTCCGGATTCCCCGCCCATTTTTTTTCCTACCCCTACACAAAACCCCGTTTGACGCAGTTGCACTATATAGCTTTGTGGATAAACTCATGGACCACGAGTTGCGTAGTATCGATCATTGATGAGGGGCCTCACTGTGAACCCTCACTGTGAACCTGCCGGTTGGAGACGCATTATGTACATTTAACGCAGTATCATGTACGCCCATCCAACTCCAAGTTGATGCGGGGCAACGACAGTCGGAAGCACGGCCACATATGATACAAGCTCTAATGCGAATAGAAAGCACGGCCACTTATCTCCCTCCGCATGTCGGCTGTAATGAGCTGAGAGGGTACATCAGTGGGTACTTTACAAGTGTCCTCTACAAGCTATGAGACGGGTATGACATAGTACGTACGACTCCACAAGCTATTACGTACGGATGAAAGGGTGAAAGCGGATGAAACGGGTGAAAGCTCTGTATATGTAGGATCCATGTGAAAGCTCTTACGATGCATGTGAAACAGTGCTCCATACTGAGTCCACAGGCATTATGCATACGTGCAATTCATGCATGCCATTATGCCATTACATTGTAAGCCGGGATTGGATGTGAGTCACTCTAAAGCGGGCTCTCCACACTTCCTGCCACACTTCCTTTGAAACCTGCCGTGAAACCGCGTCTATAAGCCCGTACACTCCCTATATAAGCCCGTACACTCCCATCCTTCCCCTACCATTCGTCCACACCCCCTTTCTTCCCCAAGCATTTGCCGACCAAGGTACAACTATTCCACAGCCATACGCCATCTGTATGTATCGTACGCTGTAGGTAAGTGAAGCTGCCACCATGCGTGAATATCGGGTGGAAAGGATTGTGCGGGCTGTCCAATCTCGGTTAGATCCTGAGAGCTGTCACTCACCAATCTCAGGACTCGACCCAGTACAGATTCCTAAACCTTCGCCGATCAAAATACACACCCCAAGCCGTAGGTAAGTGAAGCCGCCACCATGCGTGAATATCGGGTGGAAAGGATTGTGCGGGCTGTCCAATCTCCGTTAGATCCTGAGAGCTGTCACTCAACGATCCCTTTTTGTTCTCAGCCCCGCCATGGACAGCGCCGACATGGACGTCGTCCAGTACGTTGACCATTTCGATCACGACGACAACCTCAGCGACAACCTCAACGAAAACCTCAGCGACAACCTCAACGACAACCCGTCGGATGCTGAAACACTCGAAGCGTCAGACCTACCCATCTCTGGATCAGCCGCATCAACGGCAACAAATTGTCCGGCCCTGCCGCCCTCAGCTGTTCTCGAACCTTTGATAACGCAAGTCCAAGGTCGCCCGTGTTGCGTTGTTTGCCACAGCAAGCTGGCCAACGTCTCCGATCTCTTCCGATGCCGCCTGTGCGATGTTTATCTTTGCAACTGCCACACTCCCTTGAGGCAGGACTCCACGCGTCTCCGGGTTACGCACGTTGTCGCACACATGCGGATAACAGGCCACATGGATCTCGATTGGATCCCCCTTACCCAAACGGCCGTATCAATGGCAACTCGCATCCAATGTCAAGACCACCCGCACGTTACCAACCCCTACAGTCTCTTCTTTGATACCCACACCCGAACCATGAAGTGCGACAGCCATGCAGGAAACTCGGCATGCATCCTTTCGGAGTCCAACGGCGTACAGTGGCTCGGGGGACCCATGGGATGCCAGCCCATTGCTAAGGAACCCCGTAGCAAGGCCGCGGTTGAGGAGCTCCTCCACAACTACCTACTGCTCTCAAGGAACCCGACGAGGTTGAAAGAACCCCAACGGGTACAAGCTCTGCAAGTTGCAACTGAGGAAGCCGCAGCGGATCTCTTGTTCCACATCCGAGTGGTTGCGTATGGCAACTGGGACGCATTCAGGTTGTACCAGCTCAGTCAGCTCCAACGGGAGCGGATGGCTGGGCGCCGGGAAGTGAGCATCCTCAATGTGCGCATAGCTTGGGAGCGAGACAGCGAAAACGTGGAGTGGACTGTCGGAACTCTCACGTTTCCCGCCTCCGCCTACAGCGGTTCCTTGACCGCCCTTCGCGAGATCGACCCAGAGGTGCGGATCGACCGCGCCAACAGCTCGCTGAACGCCTCGGGGACTCTTTGCTTCCCAGGGGAAGTCAAAGAACGCAATCGCTTCCCACCCCCCCCCCCCCCATCCCAAACCCCAATCAAGACACCTCCCTCCCAAACGCCAATCAAGGCACCCTCCAACCCTTCACGAAAGCATACGTCAGGGTTGCCAAGCGGATCATCGACGATATGTTTGTCGGCGCTTCTCTCTACCATGTCCTCGTCCCGGAGGTGCACGTGGACCTCCTGAAGGTGATGAGCGCCTTGAAAAACCCCGACGGTCCCACCCCAAAAACACCAATGGTTACTCTCCCCAGACCTTGCGATCAAGCAATGGATCAGAGAGAGCTGGCCCTGCTTGACCGACGAACAGGTCACCGCCGTCGCTCTGGCCGTCGACCCCGTTGGTAGAGGATCACCTGCATTCGGCATCATGGGGGGCCCGGTGTCGGGAAGACAGAGCTCATCGGCTGCATCATCGACACGACCATCAACTGCCCACATCTCCACGACACGGTCGATAACCAAAGCCCTCAAGACGGAGAGAATGGAGGTCACATTCTCGTCACCAGCAATAGCAACGCTGGAGTGATGGTCGTGCTATCCAAGATCATCGGTTCCATCGGGTCCGAAGCCATCGACCTCAAATCCGACATCTTCCGGGTCCAGAAATCCAACTTCGATCGATCTTCCATTCGCGACGAGGCCCTTCTCGCTCTGAACAAGGGCCAAGCCTATCAAGATATCCTCCAGCAGCTCATTGATAATGGCAAGCCCTTCCTGTTATGGACGATGCGTCCATACCATGCGCTTACCTCATGACAGCATCCCAACAGTCAGTCAATGTCAATTCCCTGTCAAAACCTGACATCTGCCAAACCTCGCAGCCGCACGCAGCCGCGCTACCCCACACCTGCCACTGCCTTCATTTCTCCACGCAGCCGCACGTAGCCACACCTCCCAACACTCGGCGCTTACAAACCCTTCTCCATACTTCCCCACGTACCCGCCCACAGCCTCAGCGTCGCCACCCCATCCCCAGTCTTCTGTTTCTATGCTTCCCCACCCTTGGCGCTTCTCTTGGCTTCCCTCTCATTCCGTACCCTTCTGCTTCCCCACGCTTCCCCAGCCTTCCCAGAAAAACATAAATAGCCGCCCCCCCTGAGCTCCCCACTTCCTGATCCCTCAGCAGATCAACACCAGTTCTTCCTAGTCTTGTTCTAGTTCTTGTTTCGGTCTGAATACCATTACCTGTCAACAACCTGCACCACAAGTCGCCTCTATTTCCATCGGCTCCGCCCATTCATAACAGTTTGATCTGCTCAACAACCCCCAGCCGCTGTACCTCCACGCCAAATCACCATGTCCGACGCCCTTCCCCTCACGGCCGAAGCCTGGCAAGCCATGTGCAATGCGATTGACGAACTTCGAGCACAGAATACCACCCTACAAGCCGAACTAGCGCAAACCCAGACCACTGCCCCTGCCACCCACGCCCCCGAACCCAAAATCAGTCTCCCAGACAAATTTGATGGCACCCGAAGCAAGTTCCGTGTGTTCCTCAACCAGATCCGGCTCATGTTCGCCCTCCAACCCAGGCGCTACCCCAACGATCAGACCAAGATACGAACTATTGGCACCTACCTCACTGGCACCGCCCAGGCCTGGCTGGCGCCCCTTGTCGAACAAGACCATCATTCCCTTACGAACCTGGATGATTTCATGCAGCAAATGCAAGCAGTCTTTGGAGACAGCGACAGGATCCGCACGTCCGAAAACAAGCTCCAGAACCTTCGACAAACCCGTGCAGCAACAGAGTATGTAGCTGAGTTCTGACAGCTGCAATGCGATGTGTCGTGGAATGACCAGGCATTGACTGCCACCTTCCGTCGCGGCCTCAAAGAAGACGTCAAGGACTTAATGCTCACGATGCCCCCTACCGCCTCAATCGACACCGTGATGGAACAGGCCATCCAATGTGACAACCGATTGTTTGAGCGCCGTCTAGAGCGAAGCAGGAACCGACAGCCATATGTGCCAGTTACCACTAGCCCCACCCTCATGAGCCCCGACAACCGCCCAGACGACCCTATGATCATTGACGCTGCTCGTCCGCGAGGACCCCTCACACCGCTAGAGCGCCAACACCGCATCACAAACAAACTTTGCCTCTACTGTGGTAAACCCGGCCACATAGCCAAACTCTGCCCGAACAAGATACGCACGGCGAATGTCGCGGTTAAGGAACCTGCACCCATCCAGGATTTTGCCCAAGTCCAGCTGCAGTAAAGGCCGAGCAGCTGGGCAACACCTGTCCTGGGCCTTCTCACCACGCAAGTACTGCCAAGGGAGAAGCCACAAAACCTTGCTCCGATCCTGGCATCTCCAGCAACACCCTTCTCCTGACCACCAACAATGTCAATCTCCTATCTGAGATACCCTCACCCATGCGGACTTTGGGCCCATCCTCACCATTCGAGTACCCTGTTACCCTGCAGATATCGGCCCAGCGAGCTCCAGTTCAGCTTTCAGCACTACTCGACACCGGTGCGATGTCGTGCTTCATCGACGAAAGTTATGCCCGCAAGCACCGCATCCCACTTGTCAAGAAGGAGGACCCCATTGCGCTTGAACTGGTTGACGGACGTCCCAGCCATGCGGGCTCCATTACCCATCACACCCAACCTTTGGGCATGTGGGTCAACGACCATTTTGAGGAGGTGGTATTCCATGTGACATGTTCCCCGCATGCGCCAATCATCCTGGGGCTTCCCTGGTTTGAGCTCCATGATGTGGAGCTACATTGGAAGACTCGCACTCTTTCCGTCCGCTGCCATTGCGGTTTTGGACAATACGCCTCCTGGGATGCCCTGCCAACAGAACCTAGCCCGAAGCCCTCAAGAACCCCTGAACCTCTGATCCGTATCCATCAAGACGAGATTTCAGTCTCCCTAGCCCAGACACCCAACACACTGGACCCAGCACCCACACCGATCCACGTATCGTTTATCAGCGCCCCAGCTTTCCGTGTGGCGGCAAGGCATGACCAGGCATTCATTGCCTACGCCAATCCGACCAAGTCAGATTCCCAAGCCCTGGGGACCACTCCTCCAAAAGATCCGAAGGCCATCATTCCTGAAGAATACCAAGATTTTGCGGACGTCTTCGCCAAGAAGAACGCGGATACCCTCCCAGAGCACCGACCCTACGACTGTCCCATCGACTTAGAAGAGGGCAAACAGCCACCGTTCGGCCCGATCTATAGTCTCAGCGAGCCTGAAATGCAGGCACTCTGTGACTACCTTGAAGAGAACCTAGCTAAGGGGTTCATCAAGCACTCCAAGTCTCCCGCCGGTGCCCCAGTCCTCTTTGTCAAGAAAAAGGACGGTTCCCTCCGTCTGTGCGTCGACTATCGTGGACTCAACAATATCACCATCAAGAATCGCTATCCCTTGCCCTTGATTAACAGCATCATGGATCGTCTTCGAGGGGCACGCCGGCTCACCAAGATTGACCTCCGGGGAGCCTACAACCTTCTTCGGATCCGGCCAGGGGATGAATGGAAGACAGCGTTCCGATGTCGCTACGGCCTATTCGAGTATAATGTCATGCCGTTTGGGCTCACCAATGCCCCTGGAGTATTCCAACACCTCATGAACGACATATTCCGTGACATTCTCGACGTTTTTGTTGTGGTCTACCTTGACGACATTCTGATCTTCTCAAAAAACCCAGAAGACCACCCCACCCACGTCCAAGAGGTGCTCTAACGACTCCGCCAGCACGGGCTGTATACGAAACCGGAAGAATGCGAATTCAACCGTGACTCTGTTGAGTTCCTGGGGTTTATCATCTCCCAGCAAGGCATTTCCATGGACCCAAAGAAGACGGCTGCCACTTACCGAATGGGAACCCCCGACGAATGTCAAAGGCATCCAGCGCTTCCTTGGTTTTGCCAACTTCTACCAGCGATTCATCAAAGGGTACTCTGCGATCGTTGCACCCCTGACCACGCTCACTCGCAAAGACTTGCCATTCAAATGGACCCACGCTGCACACCTAGCTTTTGAAACCCTCAAGAAAGCCTTCACCTCCGCACCTATCCTGACTCACCCCGACCCTGACAAGCCCTTCATTGTCGAATCCGATGCCTCCGACTTTGCCCTTGGCGCCGTCCTCCTTCAACCCGATGACACAGATCAACTCCACCCCGTGGCCTTTCACTCCCGCAAATTTACTCCTGAGGAAATCAACTATGAGATCTACGACAAGGAACTCCTGGCTATCCAAGACTCATTTGCTCAATGGCGACACCACCTCATTGGTGCCCGCCACAAGGTCATCGTTTACTGTGACCACAAGAACCTCCAGTACTTCATGACTATCCGTACCCTCAACCGCCGCCAATCCCGCTGGTCAATCTTCTTTGCTGATTTCGACTTTGTCATCACATACCGCCCTGGTACCCAGCAACACCAAGCTGACGCCCTCTCTCGTCGCTCTGAATACGAGCTAAGGGAGGGGGAAGAAGCATTCCGCTCCCAGGAAACCACGATCCTCACCCCTGACCATCTCCGCCTGGCCGCCACTTATCTGACCCCACTGGACTCCTCGCTCCTTGACCAAATCAAAGCTGCCCTGGCATCCGATGTGTTTGCGCAAACCATCCGGCAACAGCTTAGGGCCCCCATTGCCCAGCAATCTCAAGAAGACCAAGAACGGATAAAGCGATTCTCCGAGGGAAATGGGGTTCTGCTATACGACAACCTTGTCTACGTCCCCACCAACAAGCTCCGTGCTGAGATCTGCCGGGACATGCATTACACGCGTTTGGCAGGACACTACGGCATGTCAAAGACCCTGGAGCTCATCTCACACAACTACTGGTGGCCTAGCCAGTAGCGTTTTGTCAAGTCCTACATCAGGTCCTGCGACGTATGTGCTCAAGCCAAGACCAGCAGACACAAGCCCTACGGTCTCCTCCAACCCCTGCAGGTCCCTGACCGCCCCTGGGGGTCAATTTCCATGGACTTCATCACGGATCTACCCGCCAGTGATGGGGTTGATTCTGTGCTCGTTGTCATCTGCCGGTTCACCAAGATGGCGCACTTTGTACCGTGCAGGAAAACTGCCACCGCTGAGTCAACTGCAGATCTGATCTGGCACCATGTCATCCGGCTCCATGGACTCCCCGACGATATTGTATCTGACCGTGGCCCACAGTTCAACTCCCACTTCTGGAAACATCTCTTCGCTCTCCTGGGAACCAAGGTCAACCTCTCATCGGCGTTCCATCCCCAGAGCGATGGACAAACCGAGCGGACCAATCAGATTCTTGAGCAATACCTTCGCTGCTTTTGCAACTAACAACAAGATAACTGGAAGGAACTCTTGTCTTCTGCTGAGTTCTCTTACAATAACACCATCCACTCCGCCACCCAGACAACCCCCTTCTACGCCAACTATGGGTTCCATCCTCGATTCAGTCTGGCTTCCGCCACCACAACCGAATCCCTTAATCCTGCAGCCGAAGCGCGTGCCAACCATCTCAAGGAAATCCATGAACAGCTTGCCACTGAGCTCAAGGAGGCCCAAGGACGCATGAAGCGCTTTGCCGATGCTAAGAGGGCACCTGGCCCAGACATGAAACCCGGGGACAGTGTCTGGCTCTTACAGCGGAATCTCAAGACTCTCCGACCTTCCCAGAAACTTGATCACCGTAAGATTGGCCCCTTCACAATCACGGAGAAGATCAACTCGGTCACATATCGCCTCAAGCTTCCCCCATCCTACAAAATTCACAACGTCTTCCATGTCTCCCTTCTTGAACCACGTTTCACCATTCCGGAGCGAACTGAGCCAGAACCCACCCCACCAGAAGAAGTCGAAGGACAGGAGGAATGGAATGTGGAAGACATTCTTGACTCCCGTATTCGACGCACGCACCTTCAGTACCTCATCAAGTGGCAGGGTTGGCCAAGCTCGGAGAACACATGGGAGCCAGTGGAACACCTTGCCCGATGTCAAGAGCTTGTTGCCCAGTTCCACCAAAAGTACCCCGACAAACCCCGCCCAAAGCCTGCCAACATCAAAACAACATCCGGACGCCGTGGCTAAAGGAGGGGGTGATGTTATGGACGACGCGTCCATACCATGCACTTACCTCATGACAGCATCCCAACAGTCAGTCAATGTCAATTCCCTGTCAAAACCTGACATCTGCCAAACCTCGCAGCCGCACGCAGCCGCGCTACCCCACACCTGCCACTGCCTTCATTTCTCCACGCAGCCGCACGTAGCCACACCTCCCAACACTCGGCGCTTACAAACCCTTCTCCATACTTCCCCACTTACCCGCCCACAGCCTCAGCGTAGCCACCCCATCCCCAGTCTTCTGTTTCTATGCTTCCCCACCCTTGGCGCTTCTCTTGGCTTCCCTCTCATTCCGTACCCTTCTGCTTCCCCACGCTTCCCCAGCCTTCCCAGAAAAACATAAATAGCCGCCTCCCCTGAGCTCCCCACTTCCTGATCCCCCAGCAGATCAACACCAGTTCTTCCTAGTCTTGTTCTAGTTCTTGTTTCGGTCTGAATACTATTACCTGTCAACAACCTGCACCACAAGTCGCCTCTATTTTCATCGGCTCCGCCCATTCATAACACTTCCCGGTTCTGCCGTTCTGGGGCGCAAGCATCAACTCCGGCAGCTCAACCTCCCGAGGGTATCAACCCCACCCTTGCTTGGTGACACCCCGGGAATGTCTTGAGCTTCTTGAAGCACACCGCCAGCGGCCACTCGTTGGTCTCGAGCTCGGCAAGTTCAGATGGGGCCTCAGCCGGATCAAGGCTACCCTTTTTTTGAAGAAGAATATCTTCGTCGCCACTGTGGGCATGTGGAAAGTAACTCTTCCTTTCGTGAGGAAAATTGGGGTCAAGATTGGAACAATCATCGCGGATGAAGCCTCCGCCATGTACGAAGCGTCCATCGCCGCCATGGCCACCCCCCACCCCACAAACATCGTGCTCCTTGGCGATCCCAACCAGCTCGCACCACACGTGGAGACTCGGGGCGGCGTTGCGAACGCCATTGCTGGCTCCCTCCTCGAGCAAATGGCGTACACCACAACCATCCCCACAAGTGGCTCCGCACCCAATTCCGGCTTTCGCCGAAGCTGTTAACCCTGCAGAACGTCCTTTTCCTCGGCGACCACAACAGTCAACACCCCGCGGAGGAGCTGAAGACCCGATGGCAAACCACCCCTACGGGCGTATCAACGGCGACCTGCTCGACCCAAACCACCCCTAGGAGCGTGTCATCGCTGACCGAGGAGCAATTGGCTTTCATCCACGTCGCAGGCAACGAACAACCGCATCCCACGATTTCGACGTCGTACTTCAACATCCCCGAAGCGGAGGCAGTCAAGGAGTTCGTAAAGCGGCTCGAGAAGCAAGGCCAGGATCTGACACGGATAGGCATTCTGACTCCCTACCTAGGGCAGTTGTACTACTTGGACAACTTATTCGGCGTTCCCTCGGCACCCTACTCCCTTTCCCCACGCCCATTACACGCCAATCAAGGCACGTTCTCGGCCGATTTCGAGGAGGATGAGACCACAATGGAAGATGGCGAAGCTGACGATCTTCTCGCTTTCCGTTCATCGGAACCCTCGGGTGTGGCTAGCCCATACAAGAAGCTGAAGCTGTCGACGTGCGACATGTTTCAAGGCTCCGAGTATGATATTGTCATCCTCTCCTTGGTGCGGGCCGCGAATGGGGGTGACATTGGCTTCCTTCGTGAGGCCCAGCGGGTCAACCTGGCTTTTTCTCGCGCCAGGCTCGGCCTCTATGTCTTCGGGGATCTGCGAGTGGTTGATCGCGCGTCTTGCGTGTGGTTGATTGCCCTAAACAAGGACAGCGTGTGGTCCTACAACCAACCCGTCTCAAACGCGAATCAAGGCACCCGCACCGTCTCCCACGCCGATCGCTTTCTCAGGATGGAACCCAAAACCGTGGAAAACAGTCTGAAAGGTAAGCAACCCGCCCTTGAGGACTTCTCCGAGATTCGTTGGATGCGTTGCCTTGGCGAGCCTCCGGAGCCGGAGCCGTTGTTAAAGGATGAAGTGTGGTGGAATCACCTGACGACGTAGTCCCAACAGACGGAGTGGCTGCAGTTGATCGCCAATGAAATGGAGATCATAGCCCTGGCCCGCACTCAGCCCATCTCACACGCAGACCAAGGCACCCGCTCCGCCAACACCACCCGCGCTCAACGCACCCGCTCCGCCAACACCACTCAGCCCGTCTCACACGCCGATCAAGGCACCCGCTCCGCCAACACCACCCGCACTCAACCCGTCTCCCACGCAGATCAAGGCACCCGCTCCGCCAACACCACCCGCACTCAACCCGTCTCACACGCCGATCAAGGCACCCGCTCCGCCAACACCACCCGCACTCAACCCGTCTCACACGCAGATCAAGGCACCCGCACTCGACCCGTCCCTCTGCAAAGGGCGCAACTTTGCCCCGTCAGGCTGCCTTCGCTGCCTTCGCTGCATTCGCTGAAAGTGTGGGTGACCGGTGATCGGGGACTCACGATCCGCAGTCAAGTCGACAATGGCAATCGGGTCAAATTTCGTCTGGACCGCTGAATTGAACTCAACGACCAAATATGCTTCTTGACGTTCCATTTCTCGGAAGGAACTGAGACGCTGAACGTGGAAACCCCATCAATCAACCCGAGTCAGCCGATCAAGGCCCCCGTATGTCCATGGCAGCAAACCTGCATGGATCTGGTTGCCGCCGGCTCCCTGAAGGTCAAAGTTCTGGAAGAATGCATCGTCAACAAACAATTGAACGGCTTCATCAACCTGATCAGACACCACAACGAAAACCAACCCCCGGGAATCAACATCTGCCACGCACAAATCCTCACGCTTGAGGATTGAAACGTATCTTTAGATATTTAGGTAGAATATCTAGCATAGTAGGGGCAAACATAGCGCACATCAGCTGGAATGTACTTTAAAAGCGCAAAGTTGGGAGTAGCATGGGGGCATGGAATATTAACAAATACGATATATGTACAAATAAGTCCATGGTCAGGGTTGAATCAAACACTTCATTCCCACCGTTCCTCTAGAGAAATGGAACCAAAACACGCTTTATCACACATGAATGCCGCCGCCCGCCCCGTCCTTTCTCGAGATGCGACGCTATCCTTAAACCGGGAGAAAAGAAGAAACGCCGTCAAGCAAGGGAACCCTCTGCAGCATCCAGAAACGTTGCTACCATGTCACGCAAAGTCTTTGGACTATGCTGCAATGCCATTCTCTATCATATGAGTGACGAAGGCCACCGTGGGTGTCTTCGACGATTCCCGCGGGGATTGTAGCTCGGAGGAGGTTGTACTGTCCTTGAGTTACGGGGCCCTGTATCTTCTGCACTTTAACATGGTCATATTCGTCTTCATCACTGTCCTCATCGTAATTCCCCACCCCATAGTCCTCCCATTGCCCTTTGAGTTCATTGGCAACATGCAATACATCGGCGTCGAGAGAGGCATCTCCGCTCAACCTTTTCATTTCCATGCCCTCAATCCAGAGCTGTCGCGGGGTTCGGTCGTTTGTATAGGGACCCTTGATACTATGGTGATTCCATTTCCCTACAAACTCGTTCAAGTACATTTGAATGAGGGGCAGGTATATGTAGTGCAAACACCACATCTGCAACTCGTTGTCACGGGATAAATCTCCGTTATGTTCCAGCGCGCGCCAGCTGGCGCGAAATATTCTACCGACATTTCTTTGCACGTCCTTCCAGAGGCATTCGATGCGTTGATTGTGAACAGACTTGCCGGTCAGGAATGAGGTTGGGTTTCCTCGAGTTACCTCCATCATGAAGTCGCGGATGCCGAGGTTTTCGCTGCCTTTGTCGCATCGGACGCGTTGGGGACAACCCATCTCCACAACGGCCTTTACAAAGGGTGCCAGCGCGGTTTCTTTCCGGTTATTGTCCGCAACTTGGAGATGCGTAGTCAACCTAGTTTTCCCATCGATCCCACCATGAACGACAAATCTCCAGTTGATCAGCTTGTGCCATCCATCGATATGCCACAGTGACTTAGGATGAGCCACCCAGTATTCCACTCGCTCAATCTTCTTTTTAGTGCGGGCATCGACTCCTGTTGGGTCCGCGAGGCGAAGTACATCCCAAATCCGTCGCCTCGTCACGCGGTAACCTCGCATCCTCAGGTCACCGCAAAGTTGGCCTCCGTCATGAACCCCGAATGTTGCCTTCAGGTCACGGATGAGTGGTTCCAAATCCTCGTCCGATATCTGCCGCCAATATTCGCGCCGTCTAAGATTCAAGCGTCGAAGCCGCCGCTTGATTGTGGCGTCACTGACGCCCATATACATGGCAATCACGCGGTTGGAGAGGCCCTCTCTGTACCAGTGGAGCATCTTCGTTTCGTCGATCTCTGCGGGCGGCTGCCCTCTTGGCCGGTATTCCTCGTGCTCTTCCTGTTCATCCGAGTTGTCGAATGACTCGTGCCAGCCGGCGGCTGCGGCTGGGCTCCATACGCCGGGCGGACTTTCAAGTCGCTCAAGAACGGTCCCCACCTGCCACCGGGCTTGATCCAGAAGGATGGTGAAGAAGTTCGGGTTCCGGTCGTCCTCGCCGCCAAAGTGACCTAGAAGTGTAGACAATCGACGGTGGTGTTCGTCGACAACAGTTTGCTCCACAAATTCCCCATGGTCTCTCCTCTCCGCTATGTCTTGAGCTTGGCGCATCATATCAAGTATGCTTTCTAAGAACCATTCTGTTTCGGTCCACTGCCTCCCGCTCAGAATAGAAGCTATACGCAAGGCCTTGCAGGTCAAGAACAAGTTGATTACCTGTCCTTCTTGACAATAAAGCGAAAACTTACCCATGGTTTACAGTTAGGGACAGTTTGACCCTGAGGATTCGTTCGATGTGCTTAGTATGAGCGATGGCTATAAGAGTATTTGTCGCACTTTGGGTGGTCGGTTTCGCAAGGCGTTAGCACAGATAGCAGTTAGTAACAGACCTCCGGCTGTTACCAGCTGTGAGTTATCTTAAATTGTCTGCTTACGTAAGAATTTCCCAGGGAAATCTTACGTAAGCAGAGAGACCAAACCGACTGTCACTGTCAAAACGTCAAAAAAAATTTCGGAATCCTGCACTTCTCGAAAAAGATGTTGGGACGCGCGGGCCCCTCTGTTACCCTAACCTCAAGGATCTGGGTTCCCATAACACACCCGAACCTAACGCTAGTATGATGTGCCAAAGATTTTTGATAGATGAATTTGTTGGTGCTAAGGTTTTTGATCACTTTTGTTGTTTATCCACCTTTTGCTGAACCTTCTTTGCGGTACTGTACTTGCTAATAAAGGAGCAAGGCACTCAAAGTAACCGCCACTCCCCAAACCAACGTCCATGATAACGTCATCCTCTGGGCTGAGCTATGTGGTACTGTTGGTGAAGCGGAAGGGCTAGCTGACGTTGTCGTGGTCAATGAAGTGGAAGGGCCAACTGACATTGTCACTGTTGTTGTCAAGCCGGTGTCGGATGGAACAACGCTCGACCCTCCGAAAAATATGAGATTTTCCGGGTGCCGGGTGAGGGTGCCAGAGATAAAATCGGCAACCACCGTTATATTGCCATTGACTTGCACTCCGATTTGCTCTGCACGGTGATGGCGCTATGAGTTTCAAACTGAGGGACCAAGCCCGTTCCAGAACGCCCCTACCTCTGCTATCAAAAATCCCATCATCAAACACGTACGACCCCAAGAGCCCCGGCATCCCGGTGGTGAAGATCGACATATTTGTGAACGGATGCGCGTTGTATGGGACGGCGGGGTCAACAGGCGGGTTGTAGTTTACATTGGCAAGCATTGATGAAGAGAGGGAGGTGTTGCGGCGAAGGAGCTATGGAAGTGCAGGTGAGTGCTAGAAAGAGAGTTGCGCAAAGCAATGGAAGGGAGCTAACGCACCCCATCAAAGCCGTGGAAGATTGCAAACGCGCAATCCCAGTAAGGACTGAGAAAACTGTCAGCCCGTGATTAGCAGGTCGAGGCATTGGCAAGCTTCTCAGAGTTGCGCTTACATAGCCATTCCGATCATCAACCGCATTGCTGCCCGCCTGCGCGAGCAGGGCAGCTTCATAATTCTGATACTGCGTCGTTCTTGAGTCCGGGTCGGGCTGCATGGTGGTATAAACAGCGTTTTTCAATGCGATGGCATGGCCAAGAGAGGCGTTGATGGACGTTCCCCCTGAAGTCTGATCATAGTCTACCACGCCTTTTAAGGGGCGGCAGGGCTCGTGTGAGACCTTGCGTTGCCCAAAACTGCCCTCCGGCGCTTACCTTCAATTGTAACCCAAACGTAGTCCTTCGTAACCAGCCCGGCCGCATACGCCGCAAGCCAAACGGCTGTGGCTTCCTCTCTATTTGCCAAAACTAAGAAGATTCGGGCCGAGGATGCACCGATTTCTTTGAGCGCAGCGGTCAAATCAGAGTTAGAGTCGAACTCGACTTCAGCCAGGAGCGTGAGGCCATACGATGCGGCGTTGGATCTGACAGTCCCACGAAGAAAGCTGTACGAGCTGTAAGGAAAGTAACAGTTGATTGAGGAGGAGAAGGGCATACCAACGTGGGAAACAATATGCCGAGTAGCTTGAAAGTCACCTCCGGCTGGTCAGAGTTGCAATCCTCGTCCACCCCATGCTGGTTCTAAATGTTATACAAGAATTGTTTCGCTAAAAGACACCCGCACTTACTTACGAATGGATCCAGGAAAGCGGAAAGGTTATAGCGAAGTTATCAGGTCGTGCCATGCGCAATAGGTTGCTAAAGGAGCGAAGACGAGTAAGCCGACGTGGCGATCAACGCCGCTTCAAAAGCCCAATTCATTATACTCACGCATACAGCGTACGATTTGAGAACTGTGGGTTGGTCGCATACGGTAAACAGGTCGGGATTCTGTGACTATATATTGTCGGAAAGATGGGAGCAGTCAGAGACGGTAAGCTATAGTACTCCCTTTACGTGCTCCTGGTAACTCACAGAGCGGTTACAGATGTCGTGGAAAGAGCGGTAGAAGAGTATGTTGGGCCGACGATTGCGAAGACTCCGGCGTCAGATGCGCTACAGAAAGTAGGTGAGTCTTGGCTCCAATTTTCATCTGCGAGGACAGTTCTACAGTACTTTTGTGCAGCCCGAATAGCGTTTTGGGCATCCGATTGGTATGTGAACGGCACGAGGTCGACCATCGCGTCAGGCAGAATGTCCGACCTGCTGTTCACATTCGAAACTGCGGCCTGCATTGCCATACTAAACTCGTGAATCCAAGGGTCGTCGGCTTGTAGCATCAAGCCGAGCTTTATGTGTATTGTTTTTGATGAGAGGGGTGCGGGTGGCGAGGCGCGGATGCCGTGGAGAATGACAAGCATCCACCACAGAAGCGACCAGACTCTCTTGCAGGTATGGCTGAACCTCATGTCCGCACGAAAATTTCGGATGGGAAGATGATTGAAACAGTTGCCTGAGGAGGGAACAGACGATAGAGGTATTTGTGAAGGACGCTTCGGCGGCGGCCACCTGTTGACACTATCGGACAGAAACGAGGTCCGTACCCAGAGAACAGCAAGGACCCTAAAAGACGATCGGCTCAAAAACCACACTAGAAAATTGGACTTCGCTTGGGACTATAGACATTTTGTTCAAGAAGTCGCCTACAGCCAGGGAGGAATCCTGCGAGCGCCGACAATGGCCGACAATGGCGGTGCATATCACAGGGGAGAAGTTCCGACAGCCTTTGCAACGCCACTGTCAAAATCTGTCGGTGAGCCGCGACCGACAGTCCGTTATAGTAACCGTGTCATTCAACTACCGGCATACGTAAGGGAGAAAGTCCGATTTGGATCCTGGTTTAACCCTATATTGCATGCACCAACCCTCTTCCTAACCCTAAAAACTTACATTTTACCTTTTGATGGATCACGCATTGGAAACATATCACTTCCGTTCACCTTCCCCTTCCATCGAACAACCAGCAATTTGCCCCCATCGGAACTCACATAATGGTAGTAGTAACTTGACTGACTACATGGTATCGTAGCTTAAACATTAAACATACTCCGTTCCCGCCGCTTCCTCTCCACCCCTCTCGATAGCGCACCGTTATGGGGCTCGCAAATTAACCAGGGTTGCATCGGCTCACCAGTTACCAATCTCGCAAAGGCAGGACCAAGACAGAGCAACTTTGCCTTCGATCTTCTTTGGAAAGCAGTAAGAGAGATCCCTCCTAACGGTGTGTAGCCATGCGACCGACGGACTCAGCGAAGACGATGGTTCAGAATGGTGGGTATGTTGTTGAATTGCAGTTTGCGCTCGCATCAGTGAGCGATACGTGGCGACGGATCAACTTGCCGAATGTCCTCAAAGTACTGCAACAGCGCGCACCGCATCAGAGTGCGAGAATGAAGCTTGCCGAGCATCCAGCCGAGCATCCGTGGCCCCAGCGTCATTCACGGCAGCCTACCAAGCCGATTGCGCCGGGGTATTCAGAGTCACTATCGACAATCCCCTGCTCCAAAGCACAACAATGAACACTGAATGTGCCACTCTGGGGTTTGGGTTGCCGGCGGCCAGAGTATGAGTACCCCTGTTGCTGATGTTGGAGAACCAAATGCCACCAGGTATGTGAACTTGTAATGTGGATTCTCTAACAACTAGTGAGCGAAGACAGCAGCCACGGATTCACTCTAGGTAATACAGAAAGGTGCCGAATGCTCCGTGAGATGCCCAGTTCCCGAAATACATACATATACATGGTGAATGGAAGTGAGGAACTTAGGCCGATCTAAATAAGGTCATTGGCAGCGCCAGCGGCACGCTACGGCTGCTGCTGCTGCTCCTGATGCTGGTGCTTGGATGCCTCTAAAAAAAGTTGGCACATGGTGCTCTTCAGGAGAACTTTCGCGTACCAGTTGTGCGCGGCGTAGATCCATGGATGCACATGCAACGGCTTGAACAATGCGGATCCAAACATGAATTTGAAAGACCGCAGGCTACTAGCTGCGTTTACCGCCCCGGCGCCAGGGGTGATCTCCTTATTAGCAACTCCTACTTCGGTCGCCCCCTCGTCGATGGCGAGCCAGCTGACACCGTTTGTCCAGCGCAAGAGCACCTCGTTTGGACGCCTGTCTTCAACGACCCACTGGTACACGTGGTCTCCCTTTGAGAAGGTCGTCGTGGTGCCGCGTTTGAAGCCCACCGAACGTAAAACACAGGCCTCGGGGGCAAACGCCTTGCTGTTGAAGAACGCTCTGGCAAAGGCCGTCGTCAAAGCCTCAAGGTTTGCGGAGGACGCCGACGAGCCGGGAGCAGAGGGGCAGGAGGCTGCTGTATAAGGAGCACTAGCAGCAGCAACAATGACGTGGGGGGGCAGTTGAATCAGGCATGACACGTATGAGGAGTATGGCGGTGAGGGCGAGTCCGCTTTGTTGTTGGAGACATGAGGTGTCTTGGTCGCAGCAATGAGGGAGGAACCCGCAGGGGCCCCTTCGACGAGGCTAACCAGCAGCGGTGGGGCCTGTTTCGAGAAAGCAGCGGCAGCAGAGGCGGTAACAGGCATTGGATTTATATGAGATCTGGTTGGGGCACGGATTGGGGGTGCGAGGATGGGCGACTGTGCGATATCTCAGAGATGGGGCGGGAAGAGAGCGCAATGGGTTGCCATGCTCGAGAAGCCGCTGAAAGTGGGCCAATGGTCTCCAACGGTGGATATGGATGTATACTCGAGTTGGTGGCAAGCAGGGTGGTGTAAATTCAGGTGTAAGTTCTATGTACCTGGATGTGAGTCCCGCTCCCCGTGCCAAAGGTCGCGACTCTCGGATCATACTCTGGATCATACTCGACCGGGTACTTCCGCCCAAACCACACACCCTTTTATAGACATTCGATTCAGACAGGTTGCATCAACAGCCTTTCTGGAAAGGGGAAGGGGAAGGATAGTGCAGCAGCTACGCTATAGCGGGATATGGTATGTGGCTGAAACCTTGCTTGGACAGGTTTATAACACTATCCGCAAATGCATCAACATATCCCTCTTATCCCATTCGACAGAGGTTTGCGGCGAAATAATGAAAAGATCAGGACTTACTCTCCTCGTCGGGAGCGTTCTAGTGCTCAGTTTGCTCGTGAATGCAACCTTGTGTCACACAGCACAGTGTGCATCAAAAGAGCGAAACACGATCCAACGGCTGGCGATAAAACTGCTGATGATACGGCTTAGCCGATTGCGACAGGGCTACACCACGCACTTGGCTATGCACAAAGTTGCGCGGGACGTTTGAAATTTTGCTGCGTTCGGCGACACGGTGTGGACCATCCCACTGAACAACCAGACGTTGATTTGGATGAACTCGACGGGACACCTTTTCGGTAGTACGGAGCTTTCGTTTGATGTCACATCATTTTCGGTTGGGTACTCTTCACTCCTGTTCCATGGCGCGAATAACACTCTTCATGAGTGTACGCTGCCCTTGGCCGAGGAATGTCGGATAGTGGGAATGAACATGAAGAGCGGATACAATCTGGATGCGCGGATGATCTACGGCGTCCATGTGGATGGCAGCATACTGACATGCAAGAGACCCTGTGCAGCAGACAATGGGTGGCGGGCGATTATTGAGGAACCGGCAAGTGACGAAGTGCTCGTCGTTGGAGGCGCCGCGCTATGGCGTGTGGGAACCGATCGATTGTTGTACGATGGCGAAGGGCTGCGTCGAAGCATGGACCAACATTGGTCTGGGAACTGGCCGATCGTGGAAGCATTCGATGCGGACCGCCGCGGTGTATGGATAGTGTCAGGCGGCGGAACCCTGTACACCTGTGCTGGGAGATGCACGGACAAACGTTGGGTGGAAGTTGCCATCCCGGTGGAGGTGAACATCCAACAAATCACTGTCAGCGGAAGTTTTGTCTACGTCCGGGATCACTGGAACGTGCTGGAGCGCTTCCAGATCTTTCCAGACAACGGCGAGGATTACACGCACTACGTGTCCTTTGCTAACACTGGAAGATACATGTGTGAGATGGCGAGCGAGGCCGTGCTAGAGGGTCTGCCCGTGCACTATCTGGGCTACGGCTGCCACAACTAAGACAGCGTTGTAAACATTGTCGTTTCCCAAATACCGGTGCCGTTAGAAATGTATGCCAGCGCAGTTGCGCAAACGTCAACATGCAACAGTTCCTTTACTGCGACGAACCTTGGCTTTCTGCTGAACACGACTTTCTTTCGGTGGAGCACGCTCCATGAACTGGAACATGGTCGTGCCTTGGTCAAGCGTGAGTTCTTATACACAAAGCCTGTGACTTGTCCACAATCAGGACTACATCACTCGGGAGCCCCACCAGAGCTCTTAACACAAGCCGGCCGAACTCGATCTGTCATTATGGGCCCACCCTACGAGTACAGGTTCGGCTATGCGGCGGCCATTCGCCGATGTGCCTTCCGCGATTGGACTTGCCGCCGATTTCGATACATTCAAGGCAGTGATGGTGGAGAAGCATAAGGATATCCTGCCGTTGTGTCATATGTAGACTCCGCCTTCGATGAAGATACATCACCAATTATGATGCACATCTAAGTTACACAGGCAGATCGAGCAACATTCTTGTTGCGCCGCAGCCTTCTTGCCAACGCCGATTCCGATCAGCCAGTCCGGAGCCGAAGTGAATCTGATGTCGCTGCGTTTATTTGAAGCCCTGAACATCCCGATCGAAACGACCATTCCTGCGAACACGACATTGAAGAATATGGATGGAAGACCCAGTCGAATTAATGGTGTCGTCTACGACGTCAAGATTTCTATTGGATCCATCAGTTGCTCGACCGCCTGTTTCGTCAGTTCCGAGTCCCTCAGTCACAATTTGATTTTAGGAAGACCTTACCGCCGTATTACCCGACTAGAAGGGAAGAATTGCGATGACGGAAGTGTATGGTGTCGTATATTCGACCCCGATTCTGCCAAAAGCGCTCAATTCCTCGCCGCACCAGCCAAATATGGAATTCAACCCCTGGATACGTACCGGAAGACTTCAAAATGATGGGTTCTGTTGTGCAGAGACGCGAACTATCCTGTCAGTTGCTGTCATTGCGTAAGCAGACGCGTAAGCAGTCTGGTCAAGGTCAGAGAGACAAAGACCCCGACGCCAGAGTCCGGAGTATATAGACATACAACAAGTAATACAATAAGACCAGTAATGGTTCTACTCTTCATCGGCTACTTCCCAGTAATAACTCAACAGGTTATGAGCCCTGTTTGCGGAGCCGAAACAAAGCAGTAAGGATCGTATCGCAAACTCGTTAAGTCAACACGAGAAACCGCCATGGCTTTCAGACATATAGACAGACTAAACCCAATTCAGTCACGCGCCCGCGCTGAAGAGGCAAGCTCTGCAGTAAGAGCTGAGGCCGAGCACGACAAAACAGTAGAAGCGGTGCTTCAAGAGCCGGCGGAAGTTGATGAGAAGGGCGAGGCTGCATACAGGCTGGAGATGTTGGAAAACGAGCTCCGTGAACAGAGAGAAGCTCAGAACGCGATCTTGAAGGTCATTCTGCAGATGCAGACCTCTCAGATGCAAGCAGCGCAGGAAAAGGAAGCACTAGGGTTCGGGGACGATGTTCTTCCACCAGACATTCTTCCAACGAAGAGATATGCGTCACCTACACACAGTACCACGTCTGAGGCAAATGTCTCATTCGTAACCAATCAGTTGTTGAAGGAGATTCCAAAGTACAACGGGGACATGGGGAAACCGCAAGCTCTCTATGAGTTTATCAGAAAGGTTCAAAATTACATCTATACGGTGGATTTACCCCCGCACATCGAAATCGCCATAGTCACCAGTAAATTCACGTCGACCGCAGATATCTGGTGGCGGACTTTCGCTGGAGAAAAAAGAGCTGAGGTCCCAACAACCTGGATGGAACTGAAGGCAGCGTTGGAGAAGAGATTCATTCCACCTGCCTACGGCACGCTGATACGGGATAAACTCGATGGGTTGAAACAGACTCACTCAGTTATTGCATATAATGCGGCATTTAACCGCTTAGTGATGCAGATCCCCCGTTCATCCAAAGGAGACGTGGAAGATAGATACCTCAAGGGATTAAAACGACCCATCTATTTCGCAATTATCAGTAAAGAATTACCGAACCTGGATGGTATGCAGGAAGCCGCTACACGTCAAGAGCAGATGATGGGAGCGCTTGATTCCCCCACACGCAACTCACGTCCCAGATCAGCGGAAGCTAGTAATGCCGAAGCGCAACAGTTGTCAGAGTCGTCTGATGAGCGCAATCAGAACTCAAAGAAGAAAGAGAATAATTCGGATAACTCTCGTCGTGGAGGAAACCGAGGTAGAGGCCGTGGACGTGGAGGTGCCCAAAGAGGTGGTGGATCTTGTTTTGAACGGTTCCCGTGCAAATTATGTGGGGAACTTGGACATTGGGTAACAACGTGCCCGAAGATAGAGGCAGCGCAACAGCTGCTTGGAAAAGATAAGCAGAAATCAGAAGCGGAGGCAAACATGGTACTTGCGACGGACCGAGGTGCTGACCACAGCATTGCCCTGGATTCGTGCGCAACCCATCATGTTGTCAAAGATGAGTTCATGTTTGAAGAGCTTCATTCCATCGCACCGGTCACCGTTCCAGTGGCCAATGGCCAAACCATTGAAGCCCAGAAAGCTGGAACCATCCGGGTCTTCAACAATGAAGACCGGACAAACACATTATTTTGCGGAACGTACTCTACGAGCCTAGTGCGCGTAGGAATCTCTGCAGTACCGCACCGTTGATTGACGAGGGCTACAACATTCAACTTCGAAGAGGAGATGCTGAAATTAGACGAGATGGGGCAGCCGTTTTGAGGGTGACCCATAATGGAAGACTTCCATTCTTGAAGGATATGTTGAAGCGGAACCTGAAGCGTTTGTTATGGCACTTGAGGGAAAGCCCAAGACCGCAACGTCAATAAATTATGGCACCAGCGTTTTGGACATATCGGATCCAAAGCGCTTCAAGCTGCGAGCTTAGAGTATGACTTCGAACTTGATACCAGCCACAAAGACGAACCCGCACAGCTATGTGTGGGCTGCCAGAAAGGAAAACAAACACGGAAGCCCTTCAGTGGGCAAAACCCCCGGCCTGCAACCAGATTACTGGACAGGATTCACTCAGATGTATTGGACCTTGGTCCTAAAACGAAGTCATTTAATGGAAAGCGGTACATTCTTTCGTTTATTGACGAATTTTCAAGATGGTCAGTAGTCTATATCTTGAAAAACAAAAGCAAAGTACACCAGAAATGGAGAGAATTCAAAGCGTACGCCGAGCGCCACTGCAATGGAAAGATCAAAGAGTTGCGCTGTGATAACGGTGGAGAATATATGTCGGATGAACTCAAAGAAGCCGGGATTTCGCTAGTCCCGACACAGCCGTACTCTTCCCAACAAAACGGTATTGCGGAACGGTTCAACCGAACAGTTATGGATCAAGTTCGCGCCAGAATGTGGATGAGTAACGTTCCAGAAAACCTTTGGAACGAATTAGCCGTTTTGGTGAATTACCTCCGACAAAGGACACCGGCCAGTGCCACTGGCACAACCCCATACCACAAATGGTATGGGAAATCAGCGGATATATCGACTTTGCGGACGCCGTGGAGTGAGGCGTTTCTCCACATCCCTAAACAGACGAGAAGAAGTAAACTTTCGGCCCGCGCACTAGGCCCGTTGCGTTTACTAGGGTATCATGCCACTAAACATGGCACTTATCGTCTCATTGATGAACATACGCTCGAGATATTTGAGTCTCGGGATGTAACCTTCAACGAAGAAAACAGTCGTAGCGAATCCGTTGCTCCTGGATCAGACGACCCCGCAGAATACGCCATTGAGAAAATACTATTGTCGCGTGGAGATGGAGATTTGGGGGAGAAGGAGTACCTCGTCAAGTGGGAAGGTTTCGACGACCCCACATGGGAACCCTACAAATTTGTAAAAGACGCAGTAGCGTTATCTGAGTTTTTGGGGGCCGAAGACGACGGCGGTCAGTACACAGGAGCGGAACTCCTGGTAGCTACGGTGGACACAGATGAACCCACCACACTGCAAGCCGCTATGAAATCCCCATACTCACGCGAATGGCAAGCCGCTATGGAAGAAGAACTTGCTTCTCACGCAAAGAATGGAACTTGGGAATCATCAGATCAGAAAAACACTGGGCACACAGTAGATTCCAAATGGGTCTTTAAAGTAATGCGCAATCCTGACAACTCAATAAAGAAGTTCAAGGCACGTTTAGTAGCCAGAGGATTTACGCAAAGAGAGGGAATAGATTACCATGAAACGTTTGCGCCCATCGTGAAGTTTAATACGTTGCGGATGTTGTTAGCCATTGCAGCGTCACACGACTTGGAGATCCATCAGATGGATGTAGACCGCATTCCTGAATGGGAACCTCGACACCGTAATCTATCTTTGCCTACCAGACGGGACAACGTTTAAACTCAAACGTTCTCTGTACGGACTGAAACAGTCACCTCGGTTGTGGAATATGGTGTTGGACGCTTACCTACGAGAGAAAGGTTTCAACGTTTCCAAACTAGACTACGCTCTTTACATAAAGCGCATTGGCCGAGGTTTTATCATCATTGCCGTCTACGTTGATGATTTGACAATTCTTTCAACGAGCAAAGCGGAACGGGAAGCGATTAAAGAAGGTTTGAAATTACGCTTCGAAATGGAAGACATGGGGGAGCTCTCTTACCTCTTCGGAATAGAAGTCAGACGAAATCGCATCCAACGAACCCTCACTATTGGACAACAGAAGTACATTAGTGATATACTACGGAAGTTCGGATTGGAGCAGATGCAACCGCACGACACGCCGCTGAATCCCAACGTGAAGCTTGAGATTATAACTGCGGATGAGAAACCGGCAGACGTTGCAACGTATCAATCGATGATAGGGTCATTGATGTACCTTATGATTGGAACTCGCCCTGATATCGCTTTCGCGATATCTAAGTTATCCCAGTTTCTGGCTAAGCCGTCACAGACACATATGAAGGCGGCTAAGCGGGTTTTCAGTTACATTGCCAAAACGAAAGAGCTTATCCTACAATACAATAACGAGTCAGATAACGAACTCCGGGGAAACAGTGATGCGGACTTCGCAAAATGCGAAGAGACTAGGCGTTCGGTCTCAGGGTACACGTTCACCTTAAACGGGGTAGCGATATCCTGGAAGTCACAACGGCAAGCGGCAGTTACAGTATCTACGTCGGAAGCGGAATATGTAACGCTTGGAGAAGCAGCCAAAGAAGCGCTGTGGCTCTCTCGGATGAAACAGGAAATCCTGGGCGCATCCGACAAGCCCATACTGATTTACGAAGATAACCAAGCCGCCATCAAACTTGCGAACAATCCCGTGGATCATCAGCGAACGAAACACATTGACGTTCGACACCACTTTATTCGGGAACTTGTAGCTGAACGCAAGCTAGATATTCAGTATATCTCAACAAAAGAAATGATAGCGAACATCCAAACGAAAGCTCTTCCGAGACCGGCCTTTGTTTATTTACGGGAATTATGTGGGCTACGACAGTAAAGTCTACACTACACGCCGTATTGTTAAATAATGGCTCTTCGGAGCCAAGTGAGCGGCGGAGCGTCAAAAACTACATGACACGACGGACACCGAACTTGATTCGACGGGTGACGCCAAACAAGATAAAGGGAGCATCCGTTGCATATGGTGCAGTTGCCACACGAGGTCACCATACGACACGAGATGGGATTAGTGCCGCACATGCAGCACTGACGGTCGTGGCAATCCCGGGTTAAGTAAACTGGCCAAGGGGCTCTAAGAGAAGCAATCAATACACATTTATCAGTTGGATTACCTCCTCTCACCACTCACCGACAGACGCCACAGCGTGGGGCGTGCAAATGAGACACCATCGCCTGGACGATGCACGTACGGCAAAATAGGTGCCCGCACGGCCCGTTGTAGTTGGCAGGGTTGACCATACAGATCGGGCAAGTTGGACCACCGTTCGGCATCTTGATGGATTGGTTGGATTTGGGTGTCGGAGAGAGAGAGTGTGTTGTTGATTGGAATGGAATTGAGAGCGGGAGTTGGACAGGCTGACTTTTGGACAGCTCGAGTCGGGGGAGTGTTGTGCAGAGACGCGAACTATCCTGTCAGTTGCTGTTATTGCGTAAGCAGACGCGTAAGCAGTCTTGTCACGGTCAGAGAGACAAAGACCCCGACGCCAGAGTCCGGAGTATATAGACATACAACAAGTAATACAATAAGACCAGTAATGGTTCTGCTCTTCATCGGCTACTTCCCAGTAATAACTCAACAGGTTCATCCCAAATACCTTGAAGATATCGACATGCTCTATGGACACAAACTCCGAAGACCTCTACGAATGCGACCGTATATGATCCAGTACTACGAGACAGAAACGGACAGCAAAGAATACAATTCGACAAAAGGAAACGTCACTGAAGAACCGACCGATGCGATTGCGACCGACAACGAACAAGATTCAGAATGCGACGTTGAAGAAGCCTACGAGCAATCAATCGAGTACCATGTACATGCGTTTACCTACTGACAGCAGTCAATTATGGACGATATGCCAATGCTATCCGACGATCGAACCGAAGAATCCGACATAGAAGAAAGTCTTATTTCTGATTCCGACAGTGATTACAGCATCAATTATGATCCGTTTCAGCCTAATCGACGACGAACCTATTCCGAATACGACTCCAACTCCGATTCCAAAGAAGAACTGTACTCCGTGCAAGTACGCACGAAATTCAAGCCTGTTGCGAAGAAGATCAAGCCTGTAGCACAACCTTTGCCCGGAGGCATCCGACCTGAAGCTTTACCCAGATCTACGATAACCGAGACACCCGCCAGAAACACTGAACGCAAAAATCGATTCGATGGACGAGACCACTTGCTTACTTTCCGAGACAATTTGACTACCAAAGAACGAGCTGCGTTCTTATGACAATTGCGCAAATACGACATGGCGTTCGCTTTCGACGACAGCGAAAGAGGAACATTGAAGCCACACATAGAGGAACCTGTCAAGATTCATACGATCCCGCACATGCCCTGGATGGTTAGACCACATCGATTACCCCCGCAAATGAGGAAAATCGCGACAGACCTACTCCGAACAAAACGAGACGCAGGACTGTTAGAACCTTCATTTGGACCCTACCGAAACTCCTGGTTCCTAGTACCCAAAAAGAACGGAACATACCGATTTGTACAAGACGTGCAGATGCTCAACAGCGTGACAATACGAGATGCCGGATGCGCGCCGATTGCAGAAGTTTTTGCTGAAGAATTTGCTGGACGTTCGATTTTATCGATGGCTGACATGTATTCCGGATATGACCAAGCATCCCTACACCCCAAATCAAGAGACATTACAGCCATGCTTACGCCGTTTGGATTTTACCGACTTACCCGACTCCCTCAAGTAGGAACTAATTCAGTAGCTCAATTTCAACGAGCAGTCGACAAAGTTTTCGAATCCCTCAAGCCCGACATCGTCAGCGTATATATCGATGATACCGGCATGAAAGGGCGGAAATATCGAGAAGAGACACACGTGAAACCCAATATTCGCAAATTCATACAAGACCACATGGACGACTGCGAAAAAGTATTAAATTCTTATGATCGATTCAGGACTCACGTTTTCCGGCGAGAAATCAAGCTGGGGAATGTCGAAGGCAAGTCTTGCAGGCATTTACAATGGAAGAGCACCCGAACAATCGAAGATCCGAAAAATCACCAGCTGACCCCCTTGCCAGAACCTGACCAAAGTACGAGCATTCCTCGGACTTATTCTATTCTACCGCGCCTGGATCAAAGATTTCGCCAAGAAAGCAGACTCCCTTCTTACAACTTCCTGGCGTCCTTTCGTGGGCGTCCCAAGTCATCTGGCAAGCGCGGGTGTACCTCAGCGAACTATGGAAGCTAACAGGCGTCGTCAACGCCAGCAAGGGTTCCCGGCACACCATCCGCCTCTCGGCTGGCGCCCGTCACAACCTCCAGTGGCACTACGATACGCTTGTTCAGGGGTCTGGAGTTTGTCTACTGTCAGAACAAGAGTGGGAAACGCAAGAACTCTTCGGCATTGCTTCCGATTCGGGCGAAATTGGCTTCGGGGTTACCTGCAAGGACTCCTTCATCGTTGGCCGCTGGTGCCCCGGGTTTTACCACGCCGCTGGATCTTCATCAGCCCTTTTTGAAATGGCAACCATTGCGATCGGACTCGAGACCTTCGGTCCCTACTTATCGGGCAAGAGAGTTCTTTGGGTCACAGACAACGAGGGAAACGCCACCGCATTTGCCAACGGCCGCGCTCGATCAACACCTCTTTGCGAGCTCATACGGAACATCTACACCGCAAGCGTGCGCTTCGAGTTCGACATTCGCCTCGTATGGGCTTCAAGAACCTTCCTCACCAGGTGCGATGCGCTCTCACGCGGCCTTGTCTTGGATTTTCAGGCAGCGCATCCGACCAAGGTGCAGGTCCCGGCTATCTTGCCTACGTCCTGTTCTTTGCTGAAATCCTCAGCGGTGTCATTGTGTTTCACACATCGTCATCATCAGCTGTAGTATTCTGCGCGGATGCGCCACCACATACCTTCTCTCGCCAAGTCGTGCTCCACCCGTCTTTGCACCGAAATCGCAACTACTCGCGCTTCGTTCTCAATTATCTCAACATTGCGGCCACGAACAGTTGGGTCCACCCAAATGGTGACCCATTCCCCATCACACTTCCTTTCCTCCTCTCGTGGTTGTACCACCAAGGCCGCCGGGTCGCAGTCGGACAAATCCAAGCAAAAACCCTTTACGGCTATCCCTCTGGGCTCTTTGATCGCCACCCCGCTCTCGGGGTCAACTGGTCACCTGTTCGCTTTCATCCCGCCGCAGTTCGGCAACTCCGTATCTTCGAACGCATTGCACCGGGGCCGCCTCTCAAATAAAAACCCAAAATCAAATACTCCCAGCTCTCAAAGTTCGTTCTCACTCTTCTCACGCCCAACTTCAACGACCGTATCTACGCTGCCATAGCGTGCGTCGCGTTCTGGGGGCTCGCTCGGCGCAGCGAGGTGCTCACCGATGGATCCCCACAACAACACCGCAAACTTCTTCTCCGCTCGCATGTCACACGCATCCCTGCGCCAATGGCCAATGGAGTCGATTACGGTTATCAGATCTTGGTTCCCTACCCCAAAATTTCAACTCACTACACGCAATATCTCGTGCTTGCCGCCGTTGATTCGGTTACCTGCCCCGTGCGCGCGCTCGATTTCGTTCTTGCGCACAATCACGGTCCCTATCTGTGGACCCTCGACAACGGCTTGGTTCCCACATCCGCATCTTTCAACGCCGTCTGGACAGCCACCATGAACACGGACATCGGCGCATCTAGCTTTCGAGCGGGCGGGGCCACTCACCTAGCCATTCTCGGGTACGACACACTGTGGATTCAACGGTGGGGTCGTTGGTCGTCCGACGCTTTCGAACGATACATCCGCACACATCCTAGCGTTCAACTCGCGGTGCGGCAGAATTCCGCTCCTATTACCCGCCCTGTTGCATACTAGATCTCCTATTTATCTGTGGCTCATCTCCGCCTACCTCTTCATGTATATTTGCCATTTGCTCAATACATATATACTTCACATATGGATCGGTGCTAATACCACAAATACTTCCCGGGCACTTCCCGGTTTTGACGTGCGGGGGCCAAATTTCTCCCCAAAATTTATTGAGGGCTGACTAGTACAGCGTGGGGCGAAAATTGGTCCCCCGACGGCGTCGCGACGTGCGGGGGACAAATTTCTCCCCAAAATCCATTGATGGCTGACTAGTACAGCGTGGGGCGAAAATTGGTCCCCCGACGGCGTCGCGACGGGCGGGGGCCAGATTTCTCCCCAAAATCCATTGAGGGCTGACTAGTACAACGTGGGGCGAAAATTGTTCCCCCGACGGCGTCGCCGTGACGCGGTCCCCGGGCACTTCCCGGTTGGACGTGCGGGGGACAAAATTCTCCCCAAAATCCATTGAGGCCTGATTAGTACAGCGTGGGGCGAAAATCGTTCCCCCGACGGCCTCGCGGAGAATAGCCAGTATCCCTCATATCGCCGCCATCTTTGGGTCGGATCGTGCACAGGGCTCTCGTAGCCCCTCATATCATCTCCCATATCATCAAATGCATCTCATTTACTATTTCGCCAAAGTCGGGTCTCGCCGTGCGCGATCCGGCGTCGTTGGGTCCAAAGATGTGCTGGATCATATGCATTTATTATCGTTTATAATATACGTGTACGCGGTTTCGCCCGCGAAGGTCGCTCGCTAGCTCTTCCCCAAAAGGGGGGAGCCTAGTGGAGCGATCAAACCCCTAACGCCTCTGGGGGGCGAGGCCTTCAGTGGTTCCACCATCCGGATTTGGTGGAACTCAAAATAGACACAAGGCGAGTTCCACTTGCCCTCTCTAGTGAACGCGGTCGCGCGGGTTCCACCGTCCGGATTTGGAGGATCCCAAAATAGACACAAGGGCGAGTTCTCCTTGCCCTCTCTGATGAACGCGGTAGCGCGAAGTAACTTTTTGGGGAGCTTGATGAGGTTGACCGAGTGCGTATAAAAGGATCCGGAACACGATCTTGAGTCAACCCACTTCATCAATCACTTCATCAACCAACGAATCACCTTTCTGAAAGATTGCAATGCCAGTGCACTACCGCCTTCGCGACCGCGAGCCGCTGAGCGTCCAGCGT